CGGGTCAAAGTGGTAACGCGTTCTATGCCGCGTTGTGATTCACGTGGTATATTTGGTTGCTCAAAACCATTACCGAGTGAATGGGAAATTGAAGCCAAAGTGTGCTCCATGAAAATGGAGTTTTGGTGTGTTCATAATAAAAATTATGAATGAAGAATAGTGTATTCCTCTATTATATGAACACCTAACATGCAAAAAGTAGTAATATTATGCCTCAAGTTCAACTGAACAAACAACAAGGGAGATTGAAAGACTACATTATCCTGAAGTTTCTGTTCTGGTTTTCTAATTGATATTTTGAAGTCATATTATGCCTCTGTTCTCTTCTTGTTGTTGTCAATGATGTTTCAATCTCACTATTTTCCCCTTCATTTTACAAATGAAATGAAATGATAAGCTAAACAAATTATACTAATGTGAATTTAGTATATACTAATGTTAGTATACAAATTATGCCTCTGTTCTCTTCTTGTTGCTGTCGATGATGTTTCTAATTTAGTGTGAATTTAGTGTTTCATTGATCCAGAGGTTGTAGTTATACCAATGTTAGTATATAAACAAATTATAAGCTAAACATAGTGAAATGAAATAAATCCTTCCCTGAACCCTCTTTTACCCAAAATCAAACAAAGCGGCACAAAATATACGCACAGGAAACAATAATAAAAGAACAAAACCCTAAGAAATTAACAGAATCTGGGCCTTTGCCAGGCATCAACACCAAGATTACAGCCTGCTTGGACCCTGATGGTTGGAAATCGGTAAGGTTCTAAACCACTAATTCTGAGCTTCGTGAGTATTATTATGATCTTAGCTCTCACACACATTCTCACAAGTCAAGAGAATTCACTTTTTATTTTCAATATTTTTATTTATTTATTTTTTACTGTCATTTGTTTTCCATGTAAATTATTAAATTCAAGAAATTTTATGATTTATTTCAAGATTTTAAGCTAAGCATCTTCCTATCGTTTACTTTTCTGAGGTTAAAAACCTACTTATGTTCCTATCTTCCTATCTTTTACTCTCAATCTTTTTTCTCAATAAACTTTATTGGATGAGTTTGCAAAGCAAGTTTACCAACTGTTATATCTTCTCTATATAAGCTGTCGATCCCAAAAAAAAAAAAAAAAATTCTCTATATGAGTTAATGCTTCTAAGGTTTAACTTTTAATTGTGCTTGGACATTCTATAGATTAGTATTCTGAGCAGTGAATGGTTTGAGGGCTTTGTTCAGCTTATGTAGTCCGACTACATTTCCACATAATTTGAATTTTTTTTTTCTCTCTTTTCTGCAGGTCTTTGTTGATAATGTTGATTTTCACAACAAGTTAGAGTAACTAAAGCATCATTATAGCTGTCACGCTTTTTGACTGAATTCGTGGAGAGATTCATAACAATTTTGTCTATTGAAATCTCGCCTTCTGTCAATGATGTTTCTAATTTAGTGTGAATTTAGTGTTTCATTGATCCAGAGGTTGTAGTTATACCAATGTTAGTATATAAACAAATTATAAGCTAAACATAGTGAAATGAAATGAATCCTTCCCTGAACCCTCTTTTACCCAAAATCAATGAAACCCTCTTTTATCCAAAATCAATACCCACAAAATCAAGCAAAGCGGCACAAAATATACGCGCACAGGAAACAATAATAAAAAGAACAAACCCTAAGAAATTAACAGAACCGAAGAAAATTAAACACTTTACAAACCCTAACTACATCAAAAGGAACCTAAAATCGAAATACATAACATTCTTCATCTATGTCTTTACCTTAACAGAAGCTTCTGTCGTATTCTTCCATCCTTGGGCTCAATTTTCGTTTGATTCGCTGCTGAACACTATGAATACCCACAAAATCAAACAAATCGCCACCACAGAGGAGACCTCATCGGCGGTCGCCAAAGGAGAAAGGAGGGAGGAGATCGGTGAGAGGAGAGAGAAGAGAGGAGATCGGAGATCGGTGAGAGCAGGTAGGAGGTGAGATCGGTGAGATCGGTGAGAGAATGGAGGGTTCTCTGTACAGAGTGCAGAGAAGAGAGTTGTAAACAGCTGTAAGTAATTTGAGGTATTTTTCCATCAATACCCTTGCATCCAAAGAAGAAAAGTTATAAAGTACAAGGTTAAAATTGACTTTTCAACTATCACAAAACACTGTTTATATTTGGCTGAAATTACTGTTCATGTTGCATCGGTGCTTTATATATATTGTATAGATATAGAAATATATAATGAAATAATATAATTACAATAATCAAATCAATTTAATTTTTTTTTAATACAAATAATCAATACAAAAGAATTTGAAATATCAACAAATTAAGTTATCAAAATAGAGCTTGACAACAGGCCGGGGCGGGGTGGGGATCACACTTCCCATCCTAGATTCCCGATGGTAAAAAATTTTCCGTTCCCGGCCCCGATTCTCGACGGGAAACCTATCACAGTCCGCGTCCTCGTCTCTCCCTCTAATGGGGATCGGGTTTCCCTGACCCCAAAAATTTCTCGGACCAAAAAAAAAAAACAAAACAAAACAAAAAACCAAATAGTAGCAGCAAAGTTAGCAATAACAACGATTCAACAACATCATCAACCAAAATCAACAACAACATCATCAACATCACAATGAGAGAGCGATCGCGAGTGAGATCCAAGCCACATGAGGATAACAGGATTTGGCGGCACGATGGGCATGAGGAGTGAGATCCAAGCTATATGAGACAAATCGGAGACTTGGTAACCCCGTTGAGTTTGGCGTTGATGGTCGAGATTTGAGTTCAATAGTGATGAGAGGAGAGAGATGAGGACAGCAGAAAGAGGGAGATCGGCAGTGAGGGAGAAAAGGACAATAGTGGAGGAGGGAGGCTTTTGGAGAGAGAGAGAAACTGAGAGAGAGATAAGAGGCCATGTGAGTGAATTGTGTTTGCGTTTTTTGGGTTTGGTTTATATATATGTGTATGGGGATATGATAGTAATTTCACTTCGGGGAGAAACGGGGACAGGGACGGGGACGGGACTAGGTCCAGGGCTGGGAAAGCTATCCCTGTCCCCAGCCCTAAACTGATCGGGGATTTAATTTCAAATATCATTCACATCCCTGCGGGGGTATTTTTCGGGAAAAAAACTATTCTAATCAAGGTCGGGGGCGGGTCCCCATCGGACTGGGTTCAAATTACCATCCCTACTTGTCGTAAGCCAACGCCTCAAACTGAATGGTCCAATCATCTTTTCTCATAATCAGAGCTAAGATGTTTTCAAGAAAAATGTTTAGGAAGAATTACACCCTAGTGGGGCAGAAAAAAATACAAATTCGTAAAAAAATTTAGGGTAAATTACAAATATACCTCTTGAAATTTGCTTAAAATATAGATTATTTCTTGTAGTGTGAAAAATTATAAATATCCCTTTATTAAAAAAATTTATTTAACAGAATTAACTAAAAAAATGAAATTCATAATTGTTCTCCTATATAATAATAAAATAATCTAAATTATTAATTGAAACATATTTTTAACATCATTAAAAACTGTTAATTGACTTAATGATTTATTAATAAAAGTGACAATTTGTTATAAAATTAAAAACCTTAGGGGGTGGAATGTAATTTTCAAAACAATAAGAGACGATTCATATTTTAATCAAATCTCAGGGATATATTTGTAATTTATTCAAAAATTTATAAATTTAATTATTAATATTCTTAAAAAATTTACTAATTTATAATTACTTTTTAAAATACCCACGATATTTTCTCAAAATATTTATTCACTCACCAAACTAGTTTGACATGAGGTGAGGTGATAAATGCTTAAACATTTTCTTATTGGAGGCCCATAAAGGAAGATGATAGATACACAAGGTAAAATGTTTCCTTTCGTTAGATATAGTGGGCATGTGCTAGCTAACACTCTTACTAGTCCTTGTATGTCACCTACCATTCACTCTCACGCACACGCGCGCACACACACACACAGCAAAATTAGAAATACACCCATACTCTACTAATTTATAAAAAATATATATTTATAGATCACAATAAATGAGTAATACGTTTCATCAACTTTAAATTTATACTCCCTCCGTCCCAAAATATTAGTCCCTTATTTCATTTTTCATTGTCCCAAAATATTAGTCCCTCTTCAAAAAAGTATAAAAATAATATAAATTTTTTATTTTGCCCTTCTTATAAATTAATAAACAATATAAAAAGTACAATTGTGACATTGATATTCTCAAAAAATGTACTATCAAAAGGGTAATTTTGAAAAATCAACTTTTTTCAAATGCAATAATTGTACTACCAAAAAAAGTTAAATTTTCTAAAAAGAACCATTATTTTGGGACGGAGGGAGTACTAATTTCGAGATAAATTTTGAAATATATTTTTTCTTATTCATAAAATTTTTGTCAGACTATATGGTAGTTTGCAGACTCCCGATCTACCCTCCTCTTGATACCTACCCATTTCTAAATAGTTTCACATAGTCATCACATCACTATATATGACCTCTATTCTAAAAACACTACTCACCAAAAACGCAAAAAACTAAATGACTTCCTTAGCTTTTGTTCTCTACTCTCTGCTCATTGCTGTCTTTCTATACTGCTTGCTTAACCTACGCACCCTCCTCTTTAACCGTCACCCGAGACCACTTCCACCGGGACCGACACCATGGCCGGTGATCGGAAACCTGCCCCACCTAGGCACCATGCCTCACCACTCGATCGCCACCATGGCTCGAACGTACGGGCCGCTCATGCACCTCCGGCTGGGGCTGGTGGACGTGGTGGTGGCGGCGTCGGCATCGGTGGCAGCGCAGTTTTTGAAGACACATGATGCGAATTTTTCTAGCCGGCCACCCAACTCCGGTGCCAAACATATTGCCTATAATTATCAGGACCTTGTTTTTGCACCGTACGGTCCGCGGTGGCGCATGCTTCGGAAAATCTGCTCCGTCCATCTCTTCTCCACCAAGGCCTTGGATGATTTTCGACACGTCCGACAGGTCTCTCTATCTCTCTCTCTCTCTCGTAACGTCTTAGTATTGAATCATCTTGAATGATATATGACCTATATGCATGTATGTAATAACAGCACCGAGATATGTATGATATTAATGTCGATATTAAATACTATTAGTGACTAGAATTAGTGACCAGAACTCAAAGGTCAATAAAGTTCAGATTTTAAAATTAGTATAATGAATTTGAATTATACATTATTTTTATTTAATGAATTATTATTATTATATTATTTTTTTTTTTTTTTTTTTGGAAGTCTTAGCATCTAACATTACTCTACAAGTATTGTGTCAGTATTTGAATAGATTCATGTATATATAAAAGATAAATTTTCATTTACCCCTCAAATTATCTCTTCAAGGTTTTGAGTATATATGCTATTAATGGCTCATTTGGGATATGGGTTTACTTTTTGGCTTTTGGATTTTTTTGACTATTTTAACTTAGGATTAAAAAGCTACTTTTAGGATAAATCTTTTAGTTTTTTTAACTTTTATAAGAGAAAAAATAAAATAATTATAATTTGAATGTGACATTTTGTCTTATTGAATTAAAAGGTCTTTTGTCTTTTTATGATTATTTTAGTCAAAAAAAAGTCTTATTTTAACTTATATCAAACAAAAGTTAAGTATTCTTTTAAAAATTGTTGTTGAGTTTAGTATTGGAGTGCCCCCGGTCGACCACACGACCGAGCAGGTACCATACTCAATTTTGTAGCTGGAGATTTCATGATATTCATCATCTTCGTTTAGTATTGTTTAAGAGAAGTTGTTTCTCTAAGAACATGTGTGTCTAAATTTTTATTCACAATTTTTAATTTATTTATAATTTTTACTCACAAATTTTAAGTTATTATTACTAGTCGAGTAGTCCAGTTAAAATTAATATAAAAGATGAGCTAGCTAAACTGTTATGTGAGAGAGAAAGAGAGAAAAGATTAGAAAATTTTAGCTTAATTAATTTTTTCAGGGGAGATAATTGGAGACCTAAAGCAATTACTATAAATGAGGCTTTTATTTTATTTTACTAATTTATTATTTAAAAATATATTTTTCTATTTCTGAGAAGAAAATTCATTAATTAAATAATTTAATTTAATTTTTACTAATATATTTTAGGCTCTAATTGATTTTTAGTTTGGGTAATATGAAGGTTTTTTTTTCTTTTTTGATAACTAGGTATCCGGATTAACTTACGAGCATCTTGATTAAATTTCGAGGCTCTGAAATTTATAATTGGCTGCAAGATTTGAAATATTTTATCTTCGTAAGTTTCGAATGTGCGATCAAAATAGAACTAAGTTAATTATATCTAATTATAAGTGGGGTAAAATGAAATTTGAGGGTTAGGTCAGCATGTTTCATTTGATTATAAACGTAAAGGTTCAAATCCAAAGAAATCTAAATATAAGATTAATATAATTAGAAAGATATAAGCTGAATTAATTTTTAAAAACTAATTTGAAGGTAAAATAAAATTTGTTGGACTTGGTCTCAATTTTGTGCGTCTAAATTTTATATTAATGGTCACATCATATATATATATATATATAAAATATAATTATTTTTCTATTTAAATGCTTCTCTATTGGCGGACTAGACACCAAAGGCAACAAACAAATAGTGACGTCTCTATTCGACGTGGAATCCAAAACCAAAAAGTCCACTTGTCAATGTCCTGCCCATGCTTGAAATACGGGCTAATGTTATAACAAAAAGGAAGGGCAAGTTTGGCATGATTAAAAAAAAATAAAAAGTTAAAAAGTTACTATCCTATTTAAGTTATATTATCTTATTTAAGTCATATCATCTCTCTAACATATCACTTCAAATTCAATCCAAACCCAATCCATATTTTATAAAAAGTCAAAAAGTACACTTATTTAGTCTTCTCAAACTAGGCCTATATAAATATCTGAATTATACTGTGTCTTTTATATTTAACAATTTTTTTTTTTTGATTTTTAATTTTTTTTTTTTTACTTTGACGCTTTATATTTTAATTTTTTTTTTAATTTACTCTTAATGCTAATTTTTGTTTAAAATTAAATATAAAATGGAGCATTAATTGTCAAGTGGCACAAAAAGTATTTTATTATATTGAAGTTTGAGTTTGTATTAAAGATATGAGTTATGTATCATAAAATATTTTTATATCACGTAATTTTTAATATGTTATTTTTTATCTAATTTTTGAAATAAATTTAAAAAAACTTGACACGAGAAGGGTCAAAGTGAGAAAATTAACAAACATTAAGGGGCAAAGTGTAATTTATCCAAAAAAAATTAATAAAATGTTCATAGTTTAAATATGTTATAGAAATATAAATTTGATTTGGTGTGATCAAATTTATGATAATTATAATCTAACACATTTAAAATTTTAATTTTCTTTTCATTGATCATATAATTATTCAACTTTTATATATGTAAACTATATAATTCTTAATGTGTTCAACTTTTAAATATGTAATAAAGTATAAAGAGAAATGTCACTTTTACTCTATATATAGGCCTGGCTTTGGTCCAATTCATCATCGCACTGGACCGTGCTGTTGGGCTCGTTGGGGCTCACCACGGGTCTCGTTTTGAAAATCTGAACCGTTTAATATATAGAACTCGTCAAGTACTATATTTTTGTGAAAAATCACGTTGATCAGATATCGATAGGTATGTAATCAAAATAGTTTTTTATCAACCGTTAATTTATTCACTGTCCATTTTTTTATACAAAACTGATTTGATCACATAGCTATCGATATCCGATCAACGTGATTTTTTACAAACATATAGTACTTGACGAGTTGTACACATTGAACGGTTCAAATTTTTAAAACGGGACCCGTGGTGAGTCCCTATGAGCCCAACAGCACAGTCCAATCCGATGGCGGACTGGATCAAAGCCAGACCCATATATATATATATATATATATTAAGATAAAAGTGTGTAACACTAACATTTTGAACCGTGACATTAATAGCATGAGGAGAATATTAATAATTAAGACTCAAGGGGTTGGCTTATGGGTGCAATTTGGAATCCGGGATATATTCTTTTCATGTTTGGGTTCAACTTTCATTAAGTGTTATTAATTTTTTTGGATCAAGCCAGTAAGATCTATACGAGATTTGCTCTATATAAAAGGGGTACTTTGCATAGGTCTTAAAATTATTCGAGACGTGCATAAATTGGATTAGATACCTGATCATAAAAAATAAAAAATAAACATTAAGCTCAAAATTAGAAAATGTTCATTAAGTGTCTGGTGGACTCAATATTTTATCCTTCTTGATGGGGTTGGAATTGGCAGTGTCAAATTAGGTAAAAATATAAATTTTATTATTTTTATTTTGGCTGATATCAACAAAATTTATTAATCAACTTTATAGTTGACTACGTTACCAAAAGACAAATTAATAGTTGACTAACATAGGAAACTATAATCGTGATAAATTGCTGGAAGACAATTCAAGTACAAAGATAATTTTTCACCGAATAAATTATAAATGTAAGATAAAAAGTGAATTTCACACGTTTTGAATCTCACATGTGAGACAGGCTAAATTCAAGTATAAAGATAATTTTTTACAGAATAAAATATGAATATAAGATAAAAAATAAATCTCACACATTATGAATTTCACATGTGGGACACACCATTCGTCTTATATTTGTGTTTCATTTTATAATTTTTTTTTTATATTCATAGCATAACTAATTGGAGGAAAGAACGTAATTAACCTAACTTAATTGGTAGATATGACAAATAATATATAAAGTAACGACTTCAATTTTCTCTTATGTCAAGTATTACATTTCTCTAATAACTTAAAATAGTAAAAAATTAAAAAGTTATTATTAATAAGTTAATTATTTTTTCTAATTTTTTTTTACGTCTTTTTATAAAAAAAATTAAGAAAGATTTATGGAGAAATCCTTTTTCAAATGCTTATATTCTAATTAGCCTAAAATATATTTTTATATTTCAATAAATCTTATTATTTGGATATTTAATCTACCAAATCGTAATTCTCATATTTAAGATATTTTATGCACAATTTTACCATTACAAATATTTGTTGAACGCTTAGCAATTTAATGATGTGAACATTTATATTTTACAATATGACTGTTCACATTGATAGTGTCAACGTTTGTATCACGGAACATTCACATTATTAATGCGAATATTATTATTATAGTTATTTTGTTAACTATGTCACCTATAGGACTTATTAAAATATAAGAAAATAATTTAAATTAAGTGAAATATAAGTAGATGAAGAATGACTAATTTTTTTAATTTTATTTTTACTTATTTGAATTGCACACGAATCACCACGTATATTATCCGTCAATTTAGTTTGAGAAATAAAATAGGAACATTTATTCATAAATCTCTCCTCATCCATTTATGTTTAACATAGTCTAAATTATTTTCTTATATTCCAATAAATCTTATGGGTGACATAATTATCAAAATATTCCTAATAATAACAGGGTGAAGCGTGCATTAATATTTAAATTGATAATGTGAATATTTCATGATTTGAACATTCACACTGTCAAATTTATTTAATGTGAATGATCAAATCACTAAGTTACTAAGGATTTCAAAAAAAATATTTGGAAGAGTAAAATTATTTATAAAATATTTTAAATATGAGAATTAGAATTTAATAAATCACATGTATAAAATAACAAGATTTATTGATTTTTTAATAAATTTCCCAATAAAAAAATAAGTTTATAAATTTAAAAAGGCCGGAAAGTTGGCTATTTTAGTAGGCTATTTTAGTTTTTGGCTATTTTTGTAGGCTAAAAATTTTTTGTATTTGGAAAGATGGTTAGATTTTTTTTTTTGTAATTGGATGTGATATTTGTGAGAAAAAAAATAAAATAATTATGAATTTGATATAACATTTTGTGTTATTAATTATTTTAGCCTATTTTATTTTATTTTATTTTTATTTTAGCAATAGCTTTCCCTAAACCGGGCCAAAAACAAACAAACAAACGCCGTTAACACCAGTCGACTCCAAATAATGGTGAAATGGTTTATGCAGGAGGAGATAGCGATATTGACGCGCGCGTTGGAGAGTGCGGGACAAGCGGCAGCAGTGAACCTAGGGCAACTACTGAACGTGTGCACGACAAACGCGCTAGGGCGGGTGATGTTGGGTCACAGGGTGTTCGGTGACGGTAGCGGTAGCGGCGATCCAAAGGCCGATGAATTCAAGGAGATGGTAGTGGAGCTGATGGTCCTCGCCGGAGTATTTAACATCGGCGATTTTGTCCCGGCTCTTGAGTGGCTGGATCTCCAAGGTGTTGCTTCCAAAATGAAAAAACTTCACGCTAGGTTTGACTCATTTCTTAATAAGATCCTTGAAGAGCACAAGGTTAATTATTCTAGTAGTGGAGCCCAAAAACATACAGACTTGTTGAGTACATTGATTTCTCTCAAGGATGATGCTGATGGTGAGGGAGGGAAGCTCACTGACATCGAAATCAAAGCCTTGCTTTTGGTACTCTCTCTCTCTCTTTCTCTCTCTCAAGCTAGAGATTTGAAAATGATACATTTGATCATCAATTTCTTTTTGAAAAATGATTTAATAGTTATTTTTTAAATTCAGCCCCGTTTAGAAAGCGGCCGATTTAGTTAAAAAATCAAAAAATTATTAAAAAAATTAAAAAGTCAGCAACTCATACAAAAAAGTTAAAGATTCTATTTTTTCTTTACCTTTTGCACATTTTTTTGTAAAAAGTCAAAAAGTCATTTCACACATATTAATTTTTTTTACATCACATTTTAGCTAAAAAGTCAAAAAATTATTAAAAAAACATGTTCCCAAACAAGACCTCAGTGTTAAGAATATAATAATTGATAATTATAAAATATTTAATTATCAATTAATAATTAGAGAATATTCATAACTTTTAAGACCCACTTTCTTTTTCTTTTCTTTTTTTAATAAATTACAAATACATCTTTTAAAATATAAATTGTCTTCTGTACTTTTGAAAATTATATCTTGTCCTTTAAGTTTCTAATTGCATAATAAATTATTTATTTTATTAATAAATTATCAAGTCAATTAACTGTTTTTAATGATGTTAAAAATATATTTCAATTAATAATTTAAGTAATTATATTTATTGTATAGGAGAGAATTATAAATTTTATGTTTTTCAATAATTTTGTTAAATAAATTTTTTTGACATATTTGTAATTTTTAAAACCGAAATGAGCAATTTATATTTTAAGTAAATATTAGAAGACTTATTTTAAATATAAAAAACTTAAGATTATTTTGAAAATTAGGTATTTTAGTTAGTTTTTTACTTTTATGAAAAATATGCAAAAAAAAATATAGGGAGAGGAATTTACTTCTATAGTGATAACGACTTTTTCTCTATTTTAAGTATGTTCCCAAACATACCCTTAATTTGATAAGAGTCACTCCAAGTTTTTCGACAGACTTTTATCAAAATCCATTTTTTTAAAACTTATCCCAAATATTCATTTTCATAAAATTTGATTAAAAAATATATATATATAGCCAAAAATATCAGCCTTTTTTTTTTGTTTTTTAAAAAATATATTGAGAAATTTTTTTTAAAAAAATGGAAACTAATTTCATAAAAATAAAGAAAGCTACTATTCCCATTCCACTTTATTCCAAACAATGATTTAAAATCCGAACCGGACCAGTTGAACCAAAACCCGAGCCTAGTTCTAGTCCGGAAGAACCCTCAAAACTGGACTAGGCTGAAAACTAGCCTAGATTGTCAAAACCGATAGAACCGCTAGTTCAACCTGGAAAACCGATGACCTGTTACCGGTTTTGAATTGACCTGGCAATTGGAAAATCTTTTATTTTTCTTCTTTTCTTTCTTTCTTTCTTTTATATATATATATATATATTTATATATAAATATTTCAAAATCTTGACTAAAAAATCTTAATTCAAGAGTCTCCTCTCATGAGAAAGAGTCTCTAAAAAAATACTCTCTAAAAAAATCAAAATTCCAAGGATATTAATGTATTTTGAGTGAAGAAGGATTGTATTTAGAGCAAATTGGAGTGGGAATAGCGAATTCCAAAATAAATATCAAAAAGATATTTTTAAATTTGTAAAAGTTATTTCTATCCTCTCAAATGATAGAATTACATAAAAATGATAAGCATTTTTTATTTTTTTACTTCTTTTACTAAATTTTTAGTTTTCAGAATAATTTTTTAAACAAGTTTCAGAAAACTAAACAAAACATGGCCATCTAACTTGTTTGGTTTTTAAACTCAAATATAATTTTGGAAAAATTGCAAATAGATGGGACAATCACAAAATAATTACACTACAACTGAGAATTGTTTTTGTGCAACTCTAACACACAGGAAGAGTTGCACCAAGCACAGGAGTGACACCATCATCAAATTTTTTTGCCACTGCACCACTGAAATATAATTTTCCCTATATTTTTTAAGTTTTTTTGTTAAAAAAAAAAATCATATTTTAATCAAAAAAATTTACATTTTTGTTTTTCATGCACCTAATCTAAATGAACTTAAAAGGTAAATGATTTGATGAAAAAGTTCACATTTTGATTTTATATTTTTTTTTGTCTTGAGTTTTTTGACATTTTCAAGTGCACCATGCCTTTTTAAAGTATAACAAAAAAAGAACTAAAATATGAAAAAAATCCATTAAAAACAAAAAATAAAAAAACTCCAAAGCAGTTTTCAAAAATTAAACCAGAATAAATTTTATTTTATTAATTTTTTAATACTCACTACAACAAAAAGCACTTTTGGCGACTAAAATTACATTTTTCGTCGCTGAAAGTGGTACAATTGGCGACTAAAATGGAATTAATCGCCAAAATTGATAACTTTTGCCGACTAAAAGAGTTTAGTCGCCAAATATGAGGGTATTAGCGACTAAAAGGCAGTTTAGTCGCCGAATGTAGGGGTTTTAGCGACTAAAGGTTGTTTAGTAGCCAAAAGTCATGGTTTTTGACGACTAAAAATGATTTAGTAGCCAAAAGTGATGGTTTTGGCAACTAAATACAGTTTAGTCGCTGAAAGTGAAGCTTTTTGGCTACAAAAAAAAAAATTAGTAGCTAAAAACAGTCCATTGCCGACTAAAATTCAGTTTAGTAGCCAAAATGGGACGTTTTTTGCGACTAAAAACAGGTTTAGTCGCCAAAACTGCTTATTTCTAGGCGGAACTTAATTTTTTAGCGACTAAATAATAATTAGTAGCCAAAAAAGATAGAATTGGCGACTAAAAATTTAATTTAGTCACCAAAAGTGGCCTAAATTTTTTTTAAGTAAATAATTTATTTTTTACATAAATTATATTGAATTAAAAAAATTATATTTATATATATTATTTTGTATTAATACCGGTTAATATACTATATAAATAATATATATTGTATATATATTCATGTGATGTTATAGTGGCATAGTGGAGGGAGTGTGTTGCAAAAAGGTTCGAAATGTGGGACGATTGGGGTTCGAAACTCAGAAAAAGCAAAAAAAAGTGGGTTTTTTTTTTCGACGGAAACACCTTTGGCGACTAAAATTATTAGTCGCCAAAACTTTTGGCGACTAAACAGTGTAGTCGGCGATTGAGTGAGTATTGGAGACAAAATTATTAGTCGGTAAATGTATGATTTTCAAAAGTGTAAAACACTATTGGCGACTAAAATTTTGGTCGCTAAAGACTTTTATTTTGGCTACTAAAAAAGCTTTAGTCGCTAATACCTCCGCCGACCACATATACGCGACAAATGTGGCGACTAAAAAATTTTGTCGAGGAAAGTAAAATTTCGACTTTCGGCGACTAAAAACGGACTTTTGGCGACTAAAAATTTAATCGCCAAAAGTGTTTTTTTTTTGTAGCGACTAGATATTGATTATTTAATTTCTTCTTTAAAATTAAATAATATATTTCTATATAGTCAGTTATAAATAACATAAAACTGAGAAAAAAGGTGATTACATGTCCTATTTGTTAGTTTACTGCCTCAAATATTATTCACTTACAAGGAAGTATATTGTGTTAAAACAATTTCAAATTAGGTATTTTGGGCATTTCTAATACTATTTTGGATGGAATTGGGGTCACTGCTGTGCTTCATTTTGTGATGCATTATGGGATTATTTTTATGATCTGAACCGTTCATTTTGTTGGGTTTGTTGAGTACTTCAACCCTACCAAAAATTATATTAATCGGATACCAATAACTATATGATTGATAACCAAAAAAACAAACAGGAAGTTTTTTTTTTTGAAAAATAGTATAAAAATATGCAATTCGATCATATAGTTGTTGATATCCGATTAATATGATTTTTGGTAGGCTTGAAGTACTCAACAAATCCTACAAAATGAACGGTTCAGATCATAAAAATAAACCTATAATGCATCACAAAATGAAGCACAACAGTCGCTGCTGTGCGTTTGCCACAGCAGTGACCCCAAGTCCATTTTGGATGATATATTTTGAGTTGGATCACAATATATTTTTGCTTACATAATTAAGTAATTTCTGGCAGGACTTGTTCACAGCAGGAACTGACACATCATCTAGCACAGTTGAGTGGGCCATAGCAGAACTCATTCGCCACCCCAAAATTCTAGCCCAAGCTAAACAGGAGCTGGACTCGATAGTCGGCCCAGATCGACGAGTAACTGAATCAGACCTAGCCCAGTTAACCTTTCTCCAAGCCATCATCAAGGAAACCTTTCGACTTCACCCATCAACCCCACTCTCTCTCCCTCGAATGGCATCTGATAGTTGTGAAATCAATGGCTACTTCATTCCAAAGGGCTCAACTCTTCTTGTCAATGTATGGGCCATAGCCCGTGATCCAGATGCGTGGGCTGAGCCATTAGAGTTTCGACCAGAACGATTCCTACCTGGTGGCGAAAAGCCCAATGCTGATGTTAGGGGAAATGATTTTGAGGTCATACCATTTGGTGCAGGCCGTCGGATATGTGCCGGGATGAGCTTAGGGTTGCGTATGGTCCAGTTATTAACTGCGACCTTGGTCCATGCCTTCGACTGGGACTTGGCCGATGGACAATCGGCCGAGAAGCTCAACATGGATGAAGCCTATGGGCTAACCTTGCAACGGGCCGCACCACTTATGGTGCACCCACGGCCTCGGCTTGCACCCCATGTGTATCGGGCCTAAAAATGTTATCAAGTTAATAATGGTTCATGGCCCATGGGCTTTTAAGTTGTTTGTTCCACTATGTTTGCTTATCAATTCAATCTAGTTTGCGGTTCTTGCTTTATGTGTGTAGTTCTTGCTTTATATGAACTCTAGACATAATAGAGTTTAAGAAAATCAAAATAAAGAGCGATCCTGAATTCTTTATAAATGTTTTAGTTTAAAATCAACGATTTCAATTCAACTATACAAAAATTATATAATATTTTTACATTAAATGAATGATGAGTTGATGTGATTAATATTATGATATGAGATTATCAATATTATAATGATGAAGTATCAATGGACTATTAATTTTAAACCTATGATTGAAACAAAAGATAGATTAAAGAACATTAAAAATGTATATTCGTCGCACAAGGTATGTAATCTTTCATCTCCTTTAATTCTGTTATATATTTCACTTAAATATTTTATCAATTTTTATTTTTATTTTTATGTGATTTCTTCATATGGCATGATAGATTTCACTATTCTTAAAGAAAAAATATTAGAGATTCTTAAACGTTACGTTTAATTCTACACTTAGCGATGTTTTAGGGGGTTGAGTTTTTTTATATAATTCATTTTTAAACCAATTAATAACTAAGATAAAGTAGTTTACATCAATATAAATAAATTTGATAATCAAATTTTAAGGTGTTGTTTGGTAGTGTTTACTTTCTTTTTTTTAAAAAAAAAAATCTATAGAAAATATTAAACATATTTATATTTATTTTTGGTAAAACTGAAAACAAAAACATATTTGATACATGTATTTCAAAATTTTGTTTTGAAATAAAGTAAAAAGTGTGACTAGAAAAAGGTGATGGCAGAAGGTTGTTACAAATTCTGGCCACATATAGTTGTTAGTTGTGCAAAAGTGATAATCAGATGTTGTTTTTGGCCACCTGAGTTGTTAGTTGTGGTTGAAGGCGGTTGTTAGTCGAAAATGATTGTTAATGATCATAAATGGTGGTCAATCATTAGAAGTGGATTTGAATAGTGATTTTGGGTAGGGGTGTAAAATCTAATGATCATAAATGATGGTCAATCATTAGAAGTGGATTTGAATAGTGATTTTGGGTAGGGGTGTAAAATCAGCCTGGTCTAGCCCAGCTCAGGACCTAGACCAAAAGGGTAATCGGGCCTTGGGCCAGATCTAATAATTTTTTTACACCAAAATAGCTTGAAAGTGACGTTGGGTGTCGAACGGCCAAAAAAAGCATGGTCCGAGCCTTAGCCCAAGGTGGTCAGGTCAGCGGGCTATTTTAACACCCCAAATGTTGGACAAGTAACTACTAAAGGTGTTTTTGGAGGTGATTGTAGGAGGTCACCGACAACGATGGCTAGATGAGGAGTGGCCGGCAATGGCGATGAGCAATTGGTGGTGGGATGAGAAAGGGGTGGGAGGAGGAAAGAAAAAAAAAAATTCTAAATAATTGAAACTAACTTTTTATGATTACATTGATTTTAAAATTTTGTAAATTGTTTACAAATTTTTAAAAATGCAAATAAATACCAAACAAATTTTAGAAATTTTTAAAACTTTGTAAATATAAATAAAAAATTATAAACACAAATGTTACTAAATAAGCTTAAGAGTCTGTTTGTTTATTTTTTTATTTTTTCAGTCTTTATATACAAATATAATAAAATAAATGATGATAAATGTCAATCAAGTAGGGCCCATGTGCGTTGAATAATCTTTACTTATTTTTAATAGATTGAGAGTAATTACATCAAGAAAAATATTTAAATCATCAAAAAAAAAAAAATTTATTAATAGATTATAGAGTAATTGCATTATAAGAAATATTTATATCATCAAATAGACTACTACCCACAACCACTAATAATTATATATAACCCTCATAATAAATAAAAATAAACTAAGGCATCGTTTGAGAACATGCTAATTTAATAATTTTTTGGCTATTTGACTAAAATATGAACTAAAAAAAAGCTAATATGTTTGAGATGACTTTTTGACTTTTTACGAAAAGATGTACAAAAAATAAAAAGAAATTTTTTTTTTAACTTTTTAATATGAATTATTAATTTTTTGATTTTTTTAATAATTTTTTAACTAAACCGACTAGTCCCAAACGAAGCCTAATTACCGCAAAAAAATACCCGAAATGCTACCAAATCACCCGGCCAAATGCCCTGAGTGAGTGCGTTGAATAATCAAACACCACTTTTGTGTTTTTGGGTTTATTAAATGTTATTATAAAGATTGATTGAGCACCACTTGCTGTTTTACACTTATATTTATTTTTTATTTGGCTCTTTTGTTGCCTCTTTTCTTTTGCTTCCTAAAGTTTAGAATTGAGGGGGGTAGGGGATGACTGGTAGGCAAGTGTTTCGGATTCCACTAATGCATATGGCTTTGGACTCATTTTACAATTGATTATTTTAATTTATAGAAAGATATATAAAAATATAGTGCAATAACTTTTAATAATTTTTTAATTTTTTAAATTTATAATATCTTTTCAATTTTTTAACTACTTTTAGCCTATGCCGGTGCTACTACCGATTCCAATTTGTGTGTTGGAATTTCAAGAAATTCAATATTCTAGTAAATTGATACGTCCATAAAGAAAAATATGTATAAAAATATTTAAGATAAATTATAAATACATCTTTTAAAATTTACTTAAAATATAATTTATCCCTTATAATTTTAAAAATTACATCTCAGCTTTCGAAATTTGTAATTTCCAAATGGATTTTTAATTAACAAATCATCAAGTTAATTAATAATTTTTAATATTATTAAAATTTTATTTCAATTAATATTCAGATAATTTTATCATTGTATAAAAAAACAGTTACGAATTTTATTTTTTCAATTAATTCTGTTAAATAAAAAATTATAACAAGAAAGTATTTATGATTTTTCAAATCACAAAAAATAATTTATATTTTAAACAAATCTCAAAATTTTATTTGTAATCTAACCAAATATTTTAATGTCAAATTTTACTTTACTACTTATGATTTGGACCATATGTGCATAATTTATTGTAAATTGAAAATGGAGTGAGAATTCCCTTTAAAGTATTGTCCCGGCTCAAGAGGCCCACCATTAGTCCAATTTCAATAATCCACTATGTTATTCAAAAAAAAAGAAAATGAAATTCATTCAATGATTGTAGCATCTGCGTTTTATTACGTTTATTTTTTAAAAAAATAAATAGCATATTTCAAAAAATACATCTACTGTTCAATTTTTTTTTTTTTTTGAAACAAATGCAATAAAACGAACATGCTCGATTATTGGATTGACTTAGGTGTTTGGAAACAGATTTTTTTTAATAATTTTTTGACTTTTTGATTAAAATATAATGTAAAAAAAGCTAATATATTTGGAATGACATTTTAATTTTTTACGACAAAATATGCAAAAAGTAAAGAGAATGAAGTCTCACTTTTTTTATATAAAGTTAGTGACTTTTTAATTTTTTTAGCTAAAATCATCACTTGCCAAACGAGACCTAATTTTTTTTTCAATGACATACATGGACCTTAGAACGCCTTACAAAATAAACATTCAAATTTTTAAAATGAGACTTGGGTAAATCCCACAAGCCCGAATGATATCCTCCAATCTATATTATATACCGAAAAGGATCCCAGTTCTAGAAAATAAACACATAATCCCCTTTTAAGTTCACCAAGGATCCTCTAGAGTGTTTTTTTCCTAAAGTTTCCTAAAGTGGTGTATTGTGTGGTTGAGATTTAATGTTGAAAAATTGATATGACTTGTCATTAAATCTCAACCACACAATGCACTACTCTAGAAAACTTTAGAAAAAAAAAAACTCTAGAGGATCCTTGCTCTTTTAAGTTGTAGAGTAACGTGCATCATTAACCCGTCGAAGGCTTAAACAAAAAAACTGAAATATCCTTGTCCACAAGTAATTTCATTGTGCAAACTAGGAAAAATTTCATCATTTTTTTGAGAGGCGAAATTCACTTTAGCCTCTTATGCATTATTCCGTGTGCAAAAAAAAGAGGTTATTTCCCCTTCTGTCCTAACACGTATTTCACACACATACTATTAACTTGGACAGAATGACTAAAAGTGAATTTCAAATTACAAAACACAAAGGAATAAATATGATTATTTCTAAATGATGCGGGGTAATCATAGTTGGATTAAACCACAAAGAAATGAAGTGAAATTTATCCAAAATTTAATGCGTAGCTTAAATTTATTCATGTGATGAGAATATATTTATTTTTTGGATAAATTACACTGATCTTTCTTGAGATTTTAAGAAAATACAATAAGCCACACAAGTTTAACATAATTACATTGGGTTCCTTTTAAGTTTTAATTACATTGGGCTCCATAGACATATGGATAGAAAAATAATATTGACATATCTAGTATACTCAAATGTATATTCCATTTGAATGAAGCTGACCCTACTATATCTGTTCTATCTATTGACAAAAACACTCAATCATATGTGTAATTTGGCTTCTGAAATTTGGGACTTACAATGCTCAAAAATTCCAGCTTCCAGTTATTAAGGTTAAACAAGTCCTACAGAGTATTCTCGTTCAAACCCAATGTAACAATCTGACACTAGAATCAGCTTCACCCCCTGGCAAAGATAATGCAATTTTCAGTTTATAACTACTTTAAATCCGGCAGACTCAGCCGTAACATGAACAGAATTTTATCATGTCATTCACTTTGAACAGTAATAGAAGAAAATGTAATTTCAAAAAAAAAAAGAAATGTTTACCAACCTGGATAGTGCTTGGAGTTGACGGCAACTCCATGTGGGTGACCAATCGATTGGAGAAAGAAACTCTCTTCAGAGCATAGAGTTCAGAGGTTGAGGTGTTACCTAGGACCAACCACCATGCTTCATCTTTCAACTGTAAAAGAGAAACGGGAAAAAAAAAAAATGTCAAACTCAGCTGTGCTTTTGAGCAAAAATAAGAGGGTGAACTTTTTACCTTTGGGAATCGAGGGGTAAAAGCTCTTGATTGTTTGCGCCAGGAATTTGTTTTTTCCAATGTAATGTTCAGATTGAAAGCCTTCCCAGCATCGGGATTCCTTTTCTGAAGTTTTAATCTAACTTGGACACGAGGAAATTGCTCCAAGTCCTAAGAAAATGAGTATGGCGGATACTCAACACCACAAATCGGGTAAGAAAAAAGGACCATACTTGAGCAACAAGAGTATTTGAGTCAATATGATAAAACTTTTGTCTAAGAATTGTAAGCATTATTAAGAGCACGTTTGGTACGATGGAATGGGCTGGAATGGAATGCCTATTCTAGCTTTGTATTCCCTTTCCCTCAATTGTTATGTTTTATTTAAGTGGGAATAGTTATTCCATGAGAATGCCCATTCCAACAAAAAGTGAGAATACTTATTCGATATGGGAAGCTAAGGAATAACTATTCCATTCCAACATGGAATCATTATAAAATAAAATAAAATAACGATCTCTCTCATAAAAATAAAAAAACAAAATGATTGTTTCAAGAAAAAAAAATTCTTCTTCTCTCTCTGCAATCTCTCTCTACGAATACTCTCACATACAAACAATCAGCCATAGACGACTCTATCATTATTCTTCTATCAGGTTCAATATATATATTTTTTAAATTATGTTTCAATTTATTTAGATGTTAGTTGTAAGGTGTATATATATATATATGAAACTCTATGAAATCACATTCAATGTATAATAGAACATATATATATGTATCACGTTTTTATTTTTTATTTTTATATATAGTTGGTTTGTATTTTTTTTTTTTTTTTTTTTTTCAGTCTTACGAGAAAGACACATGATTTTTTTTTTTTGCTTTTTTCTTGATTTAAATTTTGTTTCACATACACAAGATTGAGTGATTTGTATCGTTCATTTTATGTTTCTTTAGCCATGTGAACTAATTTGAAAAATTAATTTTTATTCCATACATAAACACTACACAAGTGATTGTTATTTCTTGTTGACAAATTAAAAAATTTCTACCTAAAAGGCATTATTGAATTTTTTTTTTTTTAAACTGTATGTATTTACTACAACAAGAAATATAAAACAAAAGACACAAAACATCAAAATATCAAGAATAAATTGACATAATGAATGAGCTACTGTTAGGTATAGTAGATTTAAATTTTATCATTCTGTAATGTTGATCGGTGGTGGTCCAATCATCTTTGAGGTATTAATGAATTTTTTACAATTTTTATTCATTTTTTAAATTTAAATAGTTATTAGTTTCTTAACCATTCAATTTACTTGACAAACCAAACATGGGAATGGGAATGGATTTCCATTCCCACATCATTTTACTATGTCAACCAAACAGTAGAATGAGAATGAACATTCCATTCCATTTTACCACGTATTCCATTCCCACTTTATTTCATTTCATCGTACCAAACGTGCTCTAAAGGAGAGGCAAAAGCATGTTTACAGCCAAAATCTCTATCTAGGATCTAAGATTAGGTATTGACAGAGAGACAAACACAGGCCAAAATCACTAGTTGGCTGGCTGGAATTGATGACAAAGTCTCCGTTTGTTTCAACGTAAAATATTTTACACACAAAATATTTTTCTTGTAAATTGATTTTACACACAAAAAATCTTTTTGCTTTTGTTTTTTGTCATTTGTTTGACACTTGAAACAAAAATATTTTATTGCATAAAAGAAATTTTTTGATTGAATAAAGTGTCAAATGCGTCATATATGACTTTTTAGTGAGCCAAAATATTTATCTGAAAAGGCTAAATATGTAGAAAAGGTAGCAAGTAAAAGTCAACTTTGTAAAATTGACTAGCGGAATTTTTAAAGGCAAGTCATTTTTTGGAAATTTATGCAAAAATATTTTCCTTAAAAAATGTTTTACTTGCTTTTTTTTCAACCAAACAATGAAAAATGAGTAAAATATTTTTGACAAAAACATTTTATGTCAAAACAAACGGAGCCAAAATCTCATTCGATCTTCCTTAATGACTAACATATTAGGAGCAAATAAGTGCAAATTCAGCACAACACAAAGCCAAACAATTTTAAATATTTGACCACACCTGATAAAATCTTGAAGCAGTTGAATTTCCAATGCAAGCCGGCAAAGTTGACTTAGGAAGATCCAGTAGTTGCTGCACATTTGAAATTCCTTTTCTTCTTAGTATGCCCACAAGATCATCAGTCATGCTTGGCAACATCCATAGAGATGAATCCTTGTCAAACCATAAACCCTGAAAATGAAAGGTAAACGCTATCAAAATGTATGCTTGAAGAGGAGAAAAAAATGACAGGCAAAACTAAAGCTTCACATGTAGGCTGTATTCATCTTTTTTGATGGACAAAAGAAAAAAAAAAACTACTCTAGAAGCCAAAAAAGCAGCTCTGGGTCATTTCCAGGACAATAATTAATGCAATGATGTTAAAATTCACCTACTACACACCTACCACTACCACCTACTACACACTCACCTACTTCACCTACTCTCCACCTACTACACACTCACCTACTTCACCTACTCTCCACCTACTCCTCACCTACTCCATACCTACTACACTCACCTACTCCATACCTACTACACACTCACCTATTCTCTTCCCACATCCTCTCTTCTATATATAGGAATCATTGTAATACATCAAAATATCAATCAATAATACATCTATTTTTTACAAATGAATATGATGGTACTACATCAAGTTTGAGGAAGAAAATCAGATCAAGTTGTTCATTCAAACTGTTGGAAGAACCAAAATTTCGAAGGGGCCACATGGATATGACTTATGAGTTGTACATTAAAAATCATTTATGAGTACTACAAGAAGATATTACTACGAGCATACAGTTCTTCAAAGAAATTAGATGCATTGATGAGCATCCCTGAGCTGCGGAGAAGTAGGTCTCTAACATAGACACAACCTTAAGAACACAAGATCATAGAAAATAAAAGCTTAATAATGGGCGGAATTATTGAAGAGAAGCACAGTCCCCAAAGAATGACTTGTTTTAAGGGAAAAAAAATAAAATAAAATAAGCTTCTCTTTTCTATATGGCAGACAGAATTGGTATCAGCTTCTCTTCTTCTCTACCACATCCTTCATTTACTGTGAAAAAGGACTAATGCAACTACAGGGAGGAATACCTGCATGACCATTTGCAGAAGATGCATACAAGTGATTGTGCTTGAAAGCCATCCACTGTTAGCACATATGTCTATCATGGCCTGTATGATACGTATACTTTGATCTAACACTGATTTTAAGTCTGTGATATAGTCGCTGATTGGTAATTCTAACTGCGAAAAGTGTGCCTGTAAACCAAACATCATGCAATTAAGAAAAGAGAATAATGTAGGGGGGGAAAAATTTACCAAAAAGGAAAACAACAAGAAATACAAAGAACCATGTAAAATGTTCACATTATTGTGTTCAGAATATGATCAAAAAGAGATGCTGACCTGAAAAAGTAGATTTGCTTTAACATGTGGATCATCTAGGCGATTCGTATCCACCATATATGGAACTTTCTCAGATAATGCTTCATTGAAGTTTTCCTATAAAAAAATAAAAATTGAATGATTAGAGAAAATTCAACAGACATTGCATGTGTATCTCACATAAACTTTTAGATGATGTCATCATGACAACAGCCAATAATAAATCAGATGGATAGTATATGATAAATCATATATGTGTCTTTGACCGATTCATCAAATTCATAAGCCCAGCTAGTCAGTGACAGCAATAAATCGGTTTTCTTAATATTCTTCTTTTATTTCCAATAGAAAATTTGTGTTTTTAGGAAACGTAGAGTATTAGGCATGGTTGCTTTACTCATTTTAAAACAACCATGTCAAGGAAGTAACATAATTAGGAGTCTTATGTACACACATACAGTAATGTGAACTGCCAGAAACCCTTTTTCGTTGGTGTGTGTCAAATCAGATGTAGGACTCACATACCCTATACCCTTACAGAAAGGTCATGTGTCCAACATGGGTACATTTTGCCATTAAAAGATACATGCGACACAGGTAATGGGCCAGAACTTACACCCAGTGATAAGCCAGAATCAACAGACCACAGCAAAAGAGAATCAATTTGGAACCGTAAACTTTTTGAATGATCATTTAATTATATTAGTACGCATCATTTTATCCAAAATTGAATACATCTCTCTCCTCCACCACCTCTGGTGATCTTTAGTTATCTAGGTACCCTCCATCTTCTCAGGCTCATCCAGCTACCTTCATCCACAATACTCTAAGAAGTTCAAATTTGAAAATCTTTCTCTAGGTTTGCATTTGGTAAATCTGATCAAAGTGAAACATACTACTCATCACGGACTATATATTTTATTTTCCTTCAAGTAATTAATATCATTTTAATATTTACTGTATCCAAGTTCCATGTTCGTTTACGATTTGAAAGCCACCTAAAGGGACATGGTTGATTGTTACTTAAAGCATATGGATAGAGCATGATATTATGCCTTACTACCATGCAAATCTACCATACATGCATATATAAATTACCATTCACAAAGAGTTCAGATTAAAATATACAACATTAAAATGAAAATAACAAAAACATATCAGACCCGCATCATTATTAGAAAACCACCTCATTATGCCGCACAGGAAGCTCATCATATTCAGAAGCACCAGACAGTACGTGAAGGAAAACCTGGGATGAAAATAAGTGAGGTAAAACATTGTTTAAAGAAAACAAAAATGAAAGTTAAATAGTCGATATGTTGGAATTTTTACTTCAAGTGATGTATCTTGGCCTATGTTTGAACCAAACATTGACACGGTCATGTAGCTTAGGTAATACTGAGAGGCTATTGAACCCAACATCGTAGGCTCTACGCTGTCTTCATCCATCTTTACACATCCACTGTCTTCCAGATCCTCAAATGTGTTTTGCACCAGGCTGCCAAATAAAATGGTTACAAAAAGTAGCACTAGATTGAGGGTATTGATGCACTGTAGCAAAATTTATCCCCTTGGATTTTAAAGTTATACTATTACCTTGATAAGTAAGAACTCACAGTTCCAGGTTCAGTATCCTCCAAGCCATAGTAAGCTGGATTAACAGCCTGTGACATGGATATATTTGTAAAGAACTTTTGCAAGGAACAAAGACAAATACAGCTCAAAATTTATAACTTGTGATGTGATCCATGTTCTGTAGATCACCATTGCAAAGACGACAGCACATCTCAGAGACGAACATACGAACTCTACAAGTACATTCCACACTCTAAAAGTGTCAAACTGTCAATCATAAATTCCTTCATGTGCACTGTGTAGTTACAGCACTTTATCACATGCATATTAAACTTAAAATGAATCTGTTCTTTCTAATTATCTAAAATGCTATGCATACTTGGGGCAATCACTGTGATCATTACATAGAGCAAATGCAATTAATGATACCAGGTCACTTCTTGCTAATTAATGTCAGTCACATGAATTCATTTTTTATTTTTTAATAATATTTAACGAGAGAGTTTGTTTATTAATTACTTAAATTGAGACACTTGGAAGCATGGACACTTCTAAGGTGTCATATCTGTGTTAGACACTGACACTCATCAGACACCCATGTCGCACACATCCAAACGTTTCACTTTAATTTTTTTAGTTTTTTAGACTGGGCACGCTTCAAACACTTGGGAGACATACATGTCCATCGTTTTAACACATAAAATAAATTATAAGTTTGAACAAATTAACTTGAAAGGGTACCATGATACCATGATTAAATATATATTTACATAATAAAAATCAACCAGCGTGGTTGGTTTCAGTTTTCTAAAAAATGAGTTTTTTATTTTTTGTGTTTTTTTTGTTTGTAGTGAATATTTTTTAAATTTTAAACAATTCTTATACTTTTTTTGATGCCTTACTTAGATATATCTAAATAGTAAAATATTTGTGAAAAAATATTTTAAAAATTTAATAAATACACAAAAATGCGAAAAATGTACTAAATTTTAATATTTTTTTTATTTTTATTTTTTAGTATTTAGTGTATTTTTTAAAGATTTTTTTCACAAATATTATATTTTTTAAGTGTATTTATGTTAGGTGTGTCTAAAAATTTTTAAAAAAAATCATTGAAAACATTAAAATACAGAAAATAAAAAAGTAGAATTTTCTGAAAACCAGAACCAAACAAGCTGATATAACTATAAATACCTCCTTTAAACTTCAGGAATTAGTGTTATGTTGCATTTTTTTAAATTTTCTTCGAATGGAATATTCATCTACATTACATATAATAAATATATAAAACTATATATTTTGCACATGTCCCCCAAGCATCATGTCCTGGAATTCTTGAAAATTGTCGTGTTAGCATGTCTGTGTCATGTTGCATGTCCGTGTCAATGCTTCTTAGTAGAGACACCGAGTAGCACATTCCACACCAAAAAACTAAAAAATAAAAAAAATAATTGAGAATATTTTGGACTAGCAATGCATGATTGTTTTACTTTATAAGCAATACCAATTTTCTTTTAAATAAATTTATTGATGGATTTGGTAGCAGCCATAAATTCCATCAAATAACTCCAGTCAAACACTTGGAGCTATTAAAAGATACATTTTATCAGATTTCCTTCTCAACTCGAGAGGTCAAAACATTTAACCACCATGAAAGGTTTCAATTTGTGCACTTTTGAATAGTAAATCATTAGTCATGAGATGAACCTCAAAGAATTAAACACTTCTACAATTCACTAATGTGGACAGTTCCATTAACTTATATGCATTTTACTGTCTGGTATGTACTGCCACACAAATGTAACACATTCTTGTGTAACTGGTTCATAGCAATAATTAAATTTTAGTACAATATCCATTAAACTACTTCTATTGACTGGATGGTATTTTCATATAGGTGTAAGGGAATGTTGACAATACAACAATAGTTCAATAGGTCCAGTCTAGTTTTAACAGTCAGAAACAGACATGTAGATTAAGGTCCCAAAATGGTGAACTGAATTAGAGGATTGATCCCTAACAAATAAAAGTTCTGAGAGGACACCTAGGATGATTCTGGACCAAGCAAGCCACTGTTAATTAATTCAGTTAATGCATAGTAGTAAATGACTTATAGATTAAGGTCCCAAAATGGTGAACTGCATTAGAGGATTGATCCCTAACGAATAAAAGCTCTGAGAGGACACCTAGGATGATCCTGTACCAAGCAAGCCACTGTTAATTAATTCAGTTAATGCATAGCAGTAGGAATTGCCAAAACTTTACCAATCTCCGGAACAAATAGGTCCACGTGAGATAATGTACTGCATCCTCTTTATGGCAAATTGTTCCAGAAATTATCTCAGCATTGATGTGATCATGCAACTGCTCCCTCAGACTACTTTCAACCGGAAACGGTTCATACAGGAACTGCAAAAAAAGAAAAACAGTTATTCCAGCAATTACAAAAGAAAAATTACTCATATAATCATTACGCATATTGCCACAATCTCTGTTTAACCTTTTTATAGAAGCTCTTCTTCGGTTCATGAACCAGAATAACAGCTTTCCCGTGTTGATCATATTGTGGTCGGCCTGCACGGCCCATCATTTGCAAGATATCTGTGATAGGAAAATCTACATACCGTCTAGCTTTGGCATCATAATACTCTGTTCCCTGTATTATAAATGGATGTTCTATTAAAATCACACTCAAATGAGGAATGTGTTGAAGGTGCATAATTGTAGCCATCTAGGTATGCTAATTTGTAATGATTGTAGATATTTACTTTTTAAGCCCCTTTGGTACGGGTTGGACAAAAGTAGGTGCTCAATTAAATACTTTAGATGTGGCAAGGAGTGTTACTTTGACCTGGCCATTTGCATAATAGTGAACATGTTGACAAACCATGGCACTGATTTTTGTTTTTTGATAAACAAAAACCATGGCACTGATACATACAGGTATGGATATAAGTTGGAGACAGCAAGCCACTCTTCCAAACGGACTACTTTTTGACAAGTGAAGAAGAGGAAGAGAAAAATGCCAACAGCAGCAGTTTGAGCACCATAGAATAGAGTATATTAGTTGCAGAAATCCAATACATCACTAAAGCTTATCCAACAGTAAATTTTTTCATAAAATGAATCTGCATAGCATTTTAGACCAATTGCTTTGCAGCAGTATATAATATGGTTTTGGGCATCAGCGAGCAGCTCAATGATGCACAACACGATAGGACCCAATTGCAAACCCTGTTTATTTTGGTAAAATCTTTTTATATTCCACCAAAACAAATTGTATTTTGAAGACAACTTATCCATATGAAAGTCATATTATTTTGATTCCTCTCATTGCCCTCACATCATATTAAATAAAAATCTCATGTTTTAAGTATGATGTATGTTGCTACGCAAGATTAGGTCCTGAATCCTAAAATTGGGAGGTGGGTTGCATCCAACACAGACACATACCTCTACCAGTACAAAGCTGCGGAGAAAATTATTTACACCTTTATATTTCATTTTTAATATTTTTTACTATTTTAAAATATATAATTCATTTTATTAAATATAAAAATTCAAAATTCAAAGGCTTACACATGGTCATGACAGGCCTGCGAGTTCCATAAGGACATAGAAAAGTAACAAAAATGAAAATTTTAAAAACACTTGGGAGTTAGCAAAACAAACAAATCCTTTGTCATCAAGAGTAAACTAAGAGCACCTCCACCAGGTATGCCAAATCCAGCGTGGTAATCCAACAACTCTATTTTGACATGAAGAATGAAGTCCACCCGATATGTCAAATGCTAAGTTGGCATTTGGCATGAACTCAACATGTCAAATTTGACATGCTCCATGTTGATGTCAAATGTTGAGTCCACCCAATAAAATAATTTTATTTTTAAAAAATAATAGAATAATAGATTTGACATATCGGGTGGAGAATTTCTATGTCAAATTGGCATATGCCAATCTGCCACCTAAGCAAAAAAATTGGCACACCAAATTTTGAACTCAACATGTCAAATTTGACATTCTCCATGTTGATGTCAAATGTTGACTCCACCCAATAAAATAATTTTATTTTAATAAAATAATTTTATTTTTAAAAAATAATAGAATAATAGATTTGACATATTGGGTGGAGAATTTCTATGTCAAATTGGCATGTGCCAATCTGCCACCTAAGCCTTCAAAAAATAAAAATTGGCACACCACCAAATTTTGAAGGTTTGGGTGGAGATGCTCTAAGCAAAGAAAAAGTATGTTAGAATTTACCACTCACCTACTACCTCCACTATCTTTCTCCACACCTACCACCTCCACTATCACACACTCCACTACCATCCACCTCCACTATCACACATTCCACTACCATCCACCTCCACTATCACACACTCCACTACCATCCACCTCCACTATCACACATTCCACTACCATCCACCTCCACTATCACACACTCCACTACCATCCACCTCCACTATCACACATTCCACTACCATCCACCTCCACTATCACACACTCCACTACCATCTTCTCCTCTATATATAGGAATTGTAATATACAGAATATAATCAATCTTGTAATCTATAAATCTTGTAATACATCAATCAATAATAATACATCAGTAATTTCAACTTGGTATCAGAGCAAGGTTAAAGATCTTGGTGTTCTTCGCCTTCCGGCGGGCGGCGACCTTGCCTTGACCGCCCGCCGGATCTCAACCAATTCAACCCTCCCTCTCCCTCTCGGCACCTCACTTTCTCTGAGCATGATTACATACCTCCTGTAAACGGCCGTCGCCGGTCAAGCTCCCAAGGCGGAGACGGTCCGCCATAGGTTGATCTCCACTTCAGTGTCTCTTCCAACATTTTCTTTGATTTATCCACATTCCGGTTCAGGGCGTCTTTTCAAAGATCTAAATCTCTGGGTTTCACTTTCCCTCAAAGAACAACCTTTCTTCAATCTGATTTATCATCACAAACTTCTTGTTCTTTGAGTTTTGTCGATGGAAATCGAATCTGAAACCATTAATAATGCTGATGATTTAGGACCATTTGCTCGTGCATGGCAATGGTTCAAGGGCTTGCCTGAGATGTTGTGGACTCAGGTAGTTGACGTGGCCACCTAGGCAAAGAAACTTGGGAAAGATGATCCCAGAAGAATAGTTCATTCATTTAAAGTAGGACTTACCATAACTTTGGTGTCTCTGCAATATGGGTTGTACTGTGCCGAGCGTATGTATAACGCCGCCGTTTGATCTCCACCGGGAGCTCCATCAGAGACTACGTCGCCGCCTTCATCTCCGCCATCAACTCCGGTGGGACGCCGTGGTTGATGATCCTGAAACATCCCTACTCCCTGCCCCTCTCTCGGGCATGGGCTGTCTGTCTCTCTCGGCTCTCTTCTCTGCCATCACATACATACACCATACCCAAACCAGCACAAGAGCTACCCACTTTACTTTTCTTTTCTTTATTTTATTTTATTTCTCGTAATCCAAAAGTGTGTTGAATACACACCTGTGTTCCACCAAACACACCACAACCCAGCTTCCCCTATTATAAAATATTATCCCCACTCATCCACCACCTCACTTTTCTTTTCTTTATTTTATTTTATTTTTCGTAATCCAAAAAAAAAAAAAATACACACCTGTGTTCCACCAAACACACCACAACCCAGCTTCCCCTATTATAAAATATTATCCCCACTCATCCACCACCTCACTTTTCTTTTCTTTATTTTATTTTATTTTTCGTAATCCAAAAAAAAAAAAAATTCACACCGCTGTTTTTCTTCTTTCCCATCCACAAATATTTTTATCTATTTTTTTTATCCATTGTTTTATTTTCTTTTATTTTTATTCTTACACAAAGCGACCACACAACATTCCACCACCTTGTCTTTTTATTCATATCTGGGGATCAACCCCGATCATAATTTTACACACAAAAAAAAAAAAAAAAAAAAAAAAAAAAAAAAAAAAACCACAACAACCACCATACACCCACACCCACACCCACAGTGGGATTTTTCTTCTCTACTCTGCTGCAGGCCTCTTCTTTTTACCTCCGTCCTGGCCGGCCCTTGACGGTGTTGCCTCCGTGTTTCCCGCTCCACTGGGCACGATCACTCCCCCATACTCCTCCACTGCAGTATATGGTGGACCTCCAAATCGGAACATCACGGTGGCCTTCCGCTTCAGCTCCTTGTTTTCTGCCCTTAGCACGCTTATCTCTGCTCGCGCATCCTTATACATGCGTTGGAGCAGAGCCAGCTGGGAGTTTACACTACCATCCACCTCCACTATCACACACTCCACTACCATCTTCTCCTCTATATATAGGAATTGTAATATACAGAATATAATCAATCTTGTAATCTATAAATCTTGTAATACATCAATCAATAATAATACATCAGTAATTTCAACTAAGTAATTTTTTCCAAAGAAAATATCATTGTATATATAATCTACATCATACATTCCAAGCATAATAACAGCAAAAGCATGAATATAATGCATGGAGATGTAACCACAAAATATATATATATATATATATGTATTGTGAAAAGAATTGAACGTAAAATACCACTCTGGAGTCTGGATTGAAACAAGAACCAATTTACCCTAGCTTCTTTTTTTTCTTTTTTCTTTTTCATTTTTAATGTCCACACTCACACTAAATTGGCTCAGTTTAAATGCAACAAGAGCAAATAAAAAAAGGAAAAGAGCCGAAAGGTACCCCTTTTAATAAGTTCTGGCCAATAAGATTTGAGATTATGGAATATTAATGTAAGCATACCATAATAGCTTTTTCCTCACCTTAATAATAACCAAATGAGCTGGAAGGTTTACACCCCATGCCAATGTACTCGTGCAAACCAACACCTATTATTGTGAAGAGATTAAAATGTAGTCACTAAAATGAAATAAGATGTAGCATTATGTTTCAAAAAATTACGTACTTCTCATTTGTAGAAAAAGAAAAAATTGTCAGCATATTGATAATTACCTGAATCTTGTTGTTCGCAAAAAGTTCCTCTACAAGAGATCTGTCCTTGTCATTCAGTCCTGCATGGTGCAACCCAATGCCAAATTGTAAAGTGTGCCTCAGGTTCTGATCAGTGACTTGAGAAAGAATCATCTGTAGTGCTTCTTCTGGCATACTAAGAAATTGTCTTGATAACTCATCTGAGGCTGCAAACTTTATTTATACGAAAGTATTATCAGTAGTGTTTCTTCAAATTATACAATTTATATTCTGAGAATGATATTGGATCCCACCTGAATCAGGTCCAGTGCAGTAAGCCTTGTCTGGCGCCGAGATGAAACAAATATTAGGACTGGTTTGGTAGGTGAATGGGTACAAATAGCAGCATATGTGGGTTTATTCATGCTATTCATCCGTGGACAGTAAAACTTCCCTGGGTATCCCTGTATAAAGGAGACAGATTCCAAATATTATAGTACTGAAAGACTATTATATAAAAGGATTTCATTTGCTTTACAATAACCAGAAATAGTAAGAACGATTGGTTAAAAATGTGCACCAACGTGACTATTTTTCATCCCCCACCACTGTTCCACCCCTCACATCCCTGTGAACGCCGCAACCCCACCCTCTCCTTGTGACGACCACCACCACCGCCCCCATCCCCTCTCCACAGATGCTGCATGCCTCTCCCCTTCCACTGCCATCCATGGCACACTTTCACTTTGGGTTCACTTGCAACATCCTTGCCAGCTTCAGTTGTGGATTTCACTGCTCTAGTATAAGGCACCCAAAAGAGATTTAGGATAATTATTTATAGATATCCATACATTGTTTTGCTTTCTCTTTGATGCTTTTTTTATCACTGCTGTACCAAATCCAAAAGACATTTAGTGGGCCACTGATCATCCAGCAAACACATAAGTTGTGGTAATTGCAATTCAATTCAACATTTTCTTGGGGAGAGAGGGTGCAGCAAAATGACACAGAGTGGGGGCCATGGCAAAAAATCACTTTTGCCTACATTTTTTTACCAATTTGTAAATAAGTTCTCGAAGTGTGGACTTTAAAAGAAATTTTGTATTTATGGACTAATTAATAAATAGTTCTTCATTAATGGACTTAAGTATAATAGTCCCTTCCTTCTAATTGTCCACTATACCTTAAGAAATTAATAAGCTCTACGATTTACTCATTCATAATAATGTAAGAAAATTTTAAAAAAAAATGTAAAACAGTGTAACTATATATACAGATATATGCACGTATGTATATATATCTAATGTCTGCACATACAATATAGTACAGGGAAGTTGGAAAAGATATGAGATAGACCAAAACCACTTGCCTGAATGTGAACTTCAAGCGGTACAGGCCTCACACTAGGCTTGAAATTGAATAGACCAATTTCCCCAACACCCAGCCAGTCAGCCAAATCACTAAATAAACAGATGAGTGTAAGAATTACCACATAAAAAAGATTCCTATGGAAATAAAAGATGCAAATAACCTTAGTACTAGACAAATACATGGTCTAGTTGAGCAGAGATATGGCTAAACTGAAAGGTGAACAGTTTATGTAGTCACATGGATGGTGTATTACTGTAGGTGAAATCCATAAGATATCGAAATACATTCCAGAAATGACAAACAAAACATAGCACCCTTGACATGTGCTATATTAGTAAGAACAAGAAAAGTTGTGGATGTGAGATATAATAAAAGAAGAGACAAGACTGGAAGCGTTGATGAAAGCAAATCCAAAAAGTACATGAAACATACTGTGCATTTGCTAAGGCTGTTGAAAGGCCCACAAAACGAACAGCACGCTCCGTCTGCGAAGATATGTATCTCATTCTTGAGACAATAACCTAGGAACACAAAATTCTGCAGTTGAGATTTCCACTGAAATTACACTCTTTTAGGATGTTCCTACAATAAAAAAAATCAATTCATATTAACATTAGGAAAATTCTATTTGCATGGTGTGCAAATAGAATTTCCCAACGTTAGAGATGCAGTAATGCAATAGATACAGTCTGAAGGTCCCAAAATGTTTATCCAGGGCTTTACGAGAACTGTTGGATCACATTTTAATAAATCTTACACTTAAATTGTAATTTGTATATCTGTTTTTGATGATCTTGTAGAAGGTGATATTTCTGCAGCATCTTTCACAAGAAAATTTGAACAGCATATACATGCAAATCAAAATCCATTCTTCTCCATACAAGTAATTATTAATAAAAATGTGTCAAATAAGAGTAAAATTCTGAAAATCTCGATTTCATATTAAGCTGTGTAACGATATACATAATAATAAGTGTATACCTCAAGTATGGGCCCACGATCAGCTCCAAGTAAGTGAATTTCATCCAAAATCATAAGACCAACCTACAGATAAAATTTCGAACATTTGGATGAGGCCAAAGTTACATCCAATAATAAATCAAGGGGCTATAATAGATATTTTTTTTGGTTGATAAATAAGGGCCTATAATAGATCTTGGCATCAGAAAATATGGTAAACAAATGAAAAAATACCTTTGTGACATAACTTCTGCTATGCCAGTTACGACTGATACCATCCCACTTTTCAGGAGTAGAAATAATGATATCGGCAGACAGGAGAGCCATCAAATCTGGGGTATAATCCCCAGTCATTTCAACCTGATAGAAACGTCATTGTCAACTTTGATAGCTTAAGGTTAATTATTTATGCATATAGAGCAACAAAAGTCAGCACCATCTTCTTTCCAAGTTGCGAAACAAGACGCTTCCTCCAGTCATTCATTCTTTCTCGAACAATAGCCTTCAGGGGTGCTATGTAAATAACCTACAAGAATACAATGAACCAAGCATTTTACTGAAAATATAATCAAGCAAATTAAACATGCAACATGACTGCAAGACTGAAACACATGCATTATATATATCTAAAACTAAACCAAATTTTGACTAATACAACAACGGAGTAAACAGTTTGGTGTTTGCAAAACTATGCCGTTGTACTGAAATACAAAATAAGTACACATTATACTACATGATAAAGAATAAGACATATCCGTGATATTTCTGAATATTTTCTGTATATTCAATTATAAATCAATACAATATGTACATCTAATATATATAGCAATTTTAGGCCTAATCCTAAATAGGAAACAAGAACAAACCAATATTCACACAATCTAATCAACCTAAAATATTCACACAATAATATATAACAATATTATTCTCACACCCCCGCTCAAACTCAAAGTGTTTTAGCAGAAAACACTAAAAGTTTGCAAAGAAAAAACTGAAAACGAGCAGTGGTGTGAGTTTTGGTAAAGAAGTCAGCAAGTTGAAGTGCTGAAGAGACGAAAGGAAGCAAGATAGAGCCAGACTGCAAATGCTGACAAACAAAATGACAATCAATCTCAATGTGCTTCGTTCGCTCATGAAAGACAGTGTTATGAGCAATCTGAATAGCGCTACGATTGTCACAATAAAGAGAGGTCAGAGAAGATTGAGATACACCCAAATCAAACAAGAGACAACGAAGCCAAATAATCTCAGCAGTGGCATGAGCCATACCACAATACTCAACCTCGATAGTGGAACGTGCAACAACGGTCTGTTTCTTGCTCTTCCAAGAAATCAAGGAATCACCAAGAAATATGCAAAAGTCAGAAGTAGACTTGCGATCAATAACATCACTAATCCAATCAAAATCAACATAGGCCACCAAGTCCAAAGAGAAAGTGGAGGACAACAATAAGCCCTGAAATACAGTACTCCAGAAATAGCGAAAAATGCGAACCAAAGCAGCCTAATGTGTAGAACGAGGAGCAGAAACGAACTGGCGAACCACATAATCATCATAGGCAAGATCAAGGCGAGTGACAATTAGATAGACTAAACAACTCATAAGCTCTCGATATAAAGTAGGATCATCCATAAGGATACCATCAATAGTGTTAACATTAAGCTCAATGGACGTATCAGAAATCTTAGTGTTAGTAAGACCGGCACGGTGAATAACCTCATTTACATACTTAACCTGAGACAAAAAATAGCCTTTAGAAAAAGAAGTTATCTTAATACTAAGAAAATACCGCAAGAGGCTTAGATCCTTCATTTTGAAAGTGCGGAAGATATGCTGCTTGACCCCAAAGATGAAAGCCAAGCTGAGTAACAGCAGCCTGAAAGCGATCATACCAAGTACGAGGGGATTTGCTTCACACCATACAGAGCACGCCGAACACGACAAACCTGCCCAAAGGAATGGGAAAGGCTAGAAGGAGGACGCATGTAAACCTCCTCAGTGAGATGACCCTTAAGAAAAGTATTTTTAACATCCATATGATAGAGAAGCCAATGACGAACAACAGCAACAGAAATCAAACTACGAACAATAAGCATCTTGGCAGCAAGGACAAATGTCTCATAATCATTACCATACCCCTATGAGAAACCTTCGGCAACCAGGCGAGTTTTGTAATGCTTAAGAGAACTATCAGAGTGAGTCTTAACTTTACAAACCCATTTGTAACCAACTAGATTTTTGCTAGCAGGCAATAGAACCAGCTCACAAATAATAGTCTTCTGCAAAGTAGACAGTTTATCCTCCATAGCTCGAACCCAATTAAGATCCTGACAGGCTTCTTTGTAATGCTGGGATTCTGAAAAAGAGTGAATAGCAGACAAAAATGTGCAGTATGAAGGAGAAAAACATGTTTTAGCAAAATCAAGTTTGACTACCTGTTTACGTTTGCGAAAGGGGATACTTATGGTTAGCAAGATCAAAGTCATCAAAAGCAGGAAGATCAATAGCAGGGGCAAAGACAACCAGTGGAGGGAGAGTGTTGCGACGAGAATAAACTAACAATGGAGAAGAAGAAGGAGCCGAAGGGGAAGGAGGAGGAGGAGAAGGAACAGACACATGGGGGACAGTGGAGAAGGACTCAGTAAGAGGGATGGTAGGAGGAGATGAGGGAACAACCTCGTGGGTGACAGTAGAGATATACTCATCAGAAAGGACCACAGAAGGAAATAGATCAATGTAAATCAAATCCTCTTTAGAACTGCGGCTATGAGAGGAGGAAGCTGAAAATAAGACAGACATTCGACAAAGGCAACATGGCGGGAGACATAAAGGCGACGGGAAATAGGGTCATAACAGCGATAGCCTTTCTGAATAAGACTGTAACCCAAAAAGACACACAAAACAAACCAGGCACTAAGTTTGGTCCTATCTTTACGGGGTAAAAGGACAACAAGCACACCCAAACACATAGAGGAGGGAGTAATTATCGACCAAAGAGAAGGGAGTAGGCCTACGGTTAAGAAGAAAGGCAGTAATAAAACCTGTTGCACCCCAAAACGAAGCCGGAACAAAGGCAGAGAGAAGAGCATAGCTGTCTCAAGGAGATAACAATATTTACGCTCAGCTCGACCATTTTGGGCAACTGTATCAGTACAAGAAGTTTGGTGAATGATACCCAAATTGGCCAAATACTCGCAGAATTCAATTTTAAAATACTCCCTACCCAAGTCAGACCGTAACAATTTAATAGTAAACCCAAACTGTGTTATGACCATAGGCTGAAAAGTACGGTATATCAGGTAGAAATCAGACTTATGAGTCATAAGATAAACCCAAGTGTAACGGGTGCACTCATCAACAAATGAAACATAGTATGCAGAACCCCCCTTTAGTGAGAGCAGGAGAAAAATCCCAGACATCAGTATGAACTAAAGAAAATGATGTATCATATATAGAAGTACTTTTACGAAAAAGTAGGGCTGTCGTTTTGGCAAGTTTACACCCCCGGCACTCGATTGAGCCAATATTTTGGCAACTTTACCCAATATAACTAATTGAGCCAAAGACCGTAAGCGGTCAGCAAACAAATACCCTAATCTGGAATGACACAAATAGAAAGGACTTGATAGAAAATTTAACTGAAAAGAGAAAAAGGCAGCTGGAGAGGTAGTCATAGGCAGATACAAGCTCTCCACCACATAGAGGTCTCCAACTCTACGACTAGTCTCAATCTACTGTTTGGACATCTGAATCTACTGTTTGGACATTTGATCCTGCACAAAACAGATAGAAGAAGAAAAGATAACATCAAAACCAAAGGCATCAAGCTGACTGATAGATAATAAACTAACAGAAAACTGAGGAACATAAAAGACAGATGGAATAGAGATGGCAGACAGTAGGACAGACCCAATAGATATAACAGACATACCAGACATATCAGCAGCATTAACAGTAATAGAAAAGAAAGAGGGAGTACAAATATGAAGTAAGGCGAGATGACGAGTTATATGATGAGAGACACCAGAGTCAAAAAGTCAGACAAACGAAGAGATACCTGAAGAAAACCCAAACAAACCTGAATGAAGAGAGAAAACAATGGAGGTAGATGGAGATGGCTGGGCGGTAGATAGCATATGCTGAAGTTGCCCAATTTGAGCACTCAAGGAAGCTAAGTCAGGATCAGGAGACGGAGCGAATGCAGTATAAACAGCTGGAGTCGGAAAAGTACTCTAAGTAGGAGCTCGAAAATGGGGCTGAGACTGCAGAGCAGATGAACGACCCTTCTTGGGACAGTGGGACTTCCAATGACCTCTCCAATGGCAAATGGCACACTCATCAACAGCTAGAAATATCGTAATAACCAGAATTCTGAGAGGTTCAAGTGTAATAACCCCTAAATAGAACAAAATAGCCAAACCAAGGGTCGAAGGGTAATAAGAAAAAAATCTGAGGGGTTTAGGTGTAATAAATCCAAAATAGATCAAAGTATCCAAATCAAGATCAGATGACCCGACGAACCAACTGAACGAGAGACAGAGAGAGAGAGCAGCCTGGTGTCGTGATTCCGAAATCAGATTGAAGCAGAGAGCTCGCGACGGGTCGTGATACCAGAGTGGAAGAAAAAAAGAACTTCGGTGCTCAGAGGATCAGCGAACAAGGATCAACTGTGAGAACCAATGGACAAACCCAAGTCGACGAAATCAAAGGAGAGAGAAAAACCAGTAGTGAAAGCAGTTCCGACTGATGATCACGAACCAGAGAGGGGTTAAGACGGATGACCCATCGACCAGCGAAGACGAACCACGACGACGACGACGAACCAGAGCTAGAAATCACGAGGTCCAAAGATGCCAGACGAACCAAAGATATTAACCACAGAGCAGTTACGAACCAAACTGGAGAACCCACGATTAACGACTTCAAAAACAAAGCTAAGAGAGACTAAACCTGAGGTTGCGAATCAGAAGACGACTCAAACAGAGGACCAAATGAACCAAACCCAATCTCAAACTAGATGGGTCGCACGTATTCAGAAGGCTGAACCAATGAACTCAACGAAACAGAGAAGCTCTGATACCATGTGAGATTTCTAAATATTTTCTATATATTCAATTATAAATCAATACAATGTGTACATCTTATATATATTTAGCAATTCTAAGCCTAATCCTAAATAGGAAACAAGAATAAACCAATATTCACACAATCTAATACAATCTAATCAACCTAAAATATTCACACAATAATATATGGCAGTGTTATTCTCACAATATTATGATCCATTCTATTAGAGTTAGGTTAGGTTAGAAAAGATCTAATGTATCACAAAATGGTCACAACGTAATACATTATTGAATGTTATTTTGGCACAATTTGAGTTGATAATGGAATTTGGTCTTTGCTGGTGTGAGAACATTAAAAAAGGGTACTCATATGCATATGCTAGACATGCATTAACCTTTACTTTCTTTATTGGCATGCTAGACATGCATTATCAGCAAGCAAGAATTTGTGCCATCACCTTGACACAGACCTATACATTCTGAGCACTAGATTTCCTGAACAACAATAGGGGAAAAAGAAAAATAGAGCAACAAAAAGCAAAAAATTTTAAAGATCTTTCACAAGCCAATATATATGTATAATTGTATACATATTGGGTTCTAAGTTGAAAATAAGCTATGCAATAAACTCCTCTCCATTGACATTCATTGACAATGATGGATATTCAACCCCAAATCTACAATATGACTGTAGAGGCATTACTCTTACGCTGTGTTTGTTTGGAGGATTTGGAGAGAGATTTGGAAAGGGAAAAGGAAAAGAAAAAGATAGGTAAAATGTGAATAAAATATATTTACATTCCACTTAATTTCACACACCTTTTCTCTTTCCTTTTCCAAATCCCTCTCCAAATTCCCTAACCAAACACGACGTTAACGTAGCAGGCAACTTCAAAAACTATTGAAAATCTTTATAGCCATAGGAACAACCAGCACGTTTCAAACTTCAACAGGAAATCGTGCTTTTACATTTTGAAGTGAATCATATTCCTAATGTCATCCCAATATTCCAACCAAAAAAATCACACTGCGGCGGCCCACATACAGTCGAATCTGAAATAAATAATAATCATGGAGATCTAAAAATTATTAAGTTTTCCTCATTTTCAATAAAAGAAACTTTTTCAAGGTTATACAAGTTTAAATGTGAAAAAAACAACATGCACACGTATTTGTAAGCATAATAAATTATTTGCTGTAAGATATGTATTATTTATGGTCTTAAGTTGTCCTAATCACTTTCTGTGTACTAATAAAGTTGATGCTACTAGTAATTTCTTACTGATTATATATGCCTGTATATGTGTATTTTTCATTCCATTAATTAATAATATAAAAGAATCCTTTCAACTCAACAAAACAAAGTTTTTTCCCAACTAGTTGGGGTCAGCTACACCAAAACAGAGTCATATCTCAGTGAAACTTTCAACTAACATGTTTTGCTTTATTATCTCAGCCCAAGTTAAGATAATTACAAAAAAAGATCTCAACCCAAGTTAATTTTGGTAGCCCTTGTCCCCTAGCAATAAACCAAATGTAAACAGTGTTACTCTTTCTAACTGGGGCACTTATCGGTCATTGTTCCACATGACCAACAAGTTTAATTTCTTTTTCTCATTTTATCTCCAATATGTGCTACCTCTTCCATCCTACTATTTTGCTCAAAAACATATAAAGTATTGAATAATAACAATACTACTTATACACCATGGAACAAGTTGGTTCTTCAAAATTATTATTTATTAGTTATGAAGCACCGACACTTCAAAACAAGTGCCATATCCGTGCCGGACACACGGACACGGTAGGGACACGTATGGAACATGCCACATGGTGTGTCTCCTTATTTAATTAATTTATTTTCAGGAAACACGGAATACTTCGGACACACACTAGGGACATGCTAAGTTATCTTTTCCCCCATTGTCTTTAGTACTTTTGATGAATGTTGAATGTTTATTATTTTTTTCTTGATCATCCATAAAAAATGATATAAACCGTAAGTGTTAATTTAAAAGTGTTTTTTAAAATATATATATATATATAATTAGAGTTTTTTTTTTTTTTTGTTAAGATTGATTGTTTGTGGATGTAATATTAATCTAAATAGCAAATAAAAATACATAAAAACATATTTTTTTGTCGTGTCCCCAGTATGCCCGTGTCCCCCATTTTTTTTGAAATCACCGTGTCCCATATCTATATTCGTGTCCATGTCCGTGCCTCTTAGGTTATTAGAGAGTACAAAGTTATGGTTTATTAAAAACCAAGGTTTAACTGTATATAGTAGAGATCTCAGAAATACAAGGGCAAAATGTGTTGTGTTGTGTTCTGTGGGGTTCAGATGTTTCTGACATGCCTTGCCCACTGGATTGGACATTTAAGAAATTACTGCAAACAAAAAATAAATGAAAGATAAGGTGCCAGGACTGCAACAATAAAAAATTAAAAACAGACCTTCATGTCAGGCTGGGTGTTGAACAGGTGAAGCATAGCAAGCTCAGCAGATATAGTTTTTCCACTGCCAGTTGGAGCTCCTAAGAGAACATTCTCGCCAGTGTGATACAGGACATGGAAAGTCTGCACATCATCGGAGGAATTGAGTCACAATCTCCAGTTTTTACTTGGTGCAACTTAAGAGAACATAACGGTAAGAGACCATATAGGGGCACAAACACTGAAAATCCAGACCAATGTTAATGAATATGAACCTGTGTTTGAATGGGATTGAAGTGTGAAAACTTGTACAGGGCTTCATAAGCTCTGTTGCCGAGTGCTGTTACGGGGAGGGGTTTCAAGTCTAGCAGCTCGGTGTGGGATGTACGACCCTGTATGAAGCATTGCTTTATATGAAATGGGACTTTTATGAAAATAGTAGACTGCCATTCAACAACAAATTTAAATCAAAAGAGGACCTCTGGAAGTGCTAGATTCTGAAAAGATATAGTGTACAAAGCCTCTGCTTGCAGCCAAGTATCAGAAACAGCACGAATGTAATATTGAGGAGGATGCGGTTCAAAAATTGGCACGGTAAAGGAAATCTTTTGTGGTTCTGCTTTTGCCATCCGCTTTGTCAATGTGAAAAGCTCTGAGTGGTAAATGTGATCATTCTCAGAGTCCTAAATAAATTCGTTAATCAGTGCATCAATTCAGGATTAGTGAAATGTTCATTGGATGAAGAAATTAAAATATGAAGACAAATATCATTTAAAGTTAGTGAAAACTACACTGACCTTCCTGAGGTTTGTAAAAATACAATAAGCCCCATAGTTTTTGGCATAATTACACTAACCACTCTTGAAATACAAATTGTGTCACTGTTTGCCCCCCATACATTTTGTCAATAAATAAACTTATACTCCTCATAGCAATGCACACATGCAAGACTACGTATATGGGAAAGAACAAACATGAATTCTCCTTTTTTATTCCTGTCTTTTTTTCTTTTTCTTTTTTTTTTTCAAATCGCATATAATTTTCTTTAAAGCTCTCATTAAATTCAAATCAAATTGATTGATCAACAAAACTCATCAACTAAAAAAGTAAAACTAAACGTGAACTGCTTAGGGCATTGTCCACGTCTTACAAACAAAGAAGTGAGTTGAGTCAGCACCTCAACCAGAATCAACCAACGTTGCACAGTCCCATGAAAGCGATCCTTCCATATGAAGTCTGGAGTTAAGAGCAAATCCACCTAAGAAATCATAACTCATATTAACATCCACAAATTGCACCTAATTTTATAAAATAAAAAAAAAAATTCAACTTCCGATAATGAGAAAAACAAAAATAGATTTTTACCTTCAAAACAGTTCTGGTGATTGGACTTACAGTAGCAGACAACTGGATAGATGGGAAGTATCCTAAACATTGCTTAACCAACTGCCATATTTTAGAAGAAGCCGAATCATATTATGTTTATTGAATTAATAAAAAAATGTTTAATTTGAGAACCAGTTAATAGAAAGAAATACCCTTCCTCCGGGTGCATAACGAATCAGAGCTCCAATATCTTTTTCCTCCATCTCATAGAGGCGATCTAAGTCCGCCCCTCGTTCTTCAAGCTTCCTCAGTACCTGGCCAAAAAGTTTTTAATCTATCAAGTAAGGATTAATACACACATATAAGCAGTTTAAGCAAATGATAAAATAACAGTAAGCTGGACAAACTTCTGATGACATATCCCTGTCAAATTGTCTGAGGGGATGTTGATGGGGCCAAATTTGACGATCCACAGCCTTGCAATAATCCAACATGAAGGAAGTCATCTCACACCATCCTCTACGTAAACAGATCTCAAACAAGGCCCTCATGATACGAGCCAAGCTTGCACTTATGTATGCAGCATCAGAAACCAATGAAAAAGAATCTATTGAGCCCCGAGAAATGTACAACTGCAAATTACATAGTCAGCACACAGTTGTCATATATGACTTTTTCTCACTTCAATGTCAAACAGTATTTCATGGTAGGACAAGAAGTACAAAAACCTGAATGAGAATTGAAACTTTTCCATGTTTATTTGCAGCCCCACCCTTAACTTCCAACGGGCATGATGTACGGACCATCTGTTCTAGCTCATTTTGTTCCTCCTCTCGAACAACAATATTTTCAAACTCAGAAGAATGAGCTACCATGTCAATTACCTACAGAAGCAGAAAGAAGATCAACACAAATTCAAGGCGGGGAAATAAATAAACAGACAACTGTGGATATAGAATTTATAAAATGCCTCCAGAAGTAATTCTCCCACGCTTAAGCACACAAAAGTAATGGATAAGACAATTATGGCTCTAAGATTGGAATGGGAAGATTTAATGAAGCTGGGTCAATTACCAATCTTCAAGCATCACAAAATTGTGATAGCATACTCAACTTTTCCCATTAATGCCACACATTATTTAGGAAGAGAAAAAATTGAACCAGAAAGTAAAGCAAGCTGAATGTGAGATGTACTACCAACAATCATAATCAAATACCTCACTATCATTCATGTGCCGTCTCAACATTTCATTATAAGTTTCAACACTAGAATAGTGAATATAAAAGTGGCTAGCAATTCGACCAAGCTCAGTGCAGTAAAAATTGCCACTTTTCTCATCAAACCGCATCATTTTGGCTTTGTCAAGAGCACGTGCAGCTTCTGACACAAGAGCTCTTTGTTTTAAAGTCAAAGAAGGATCTCCAATTACCTATCAAACATAAAAGTACAAGAACCTGTGTAAAGTACCCCCAGGGGAAATGTAGAAAAATAAATAGATCAATAACAAGTTTTCAGCAGCCAGTCACATCAATTTCAAAAATCAATACCAAATTAAGAGCTGTGAGCAATAATATCAATGCCATATTGGACAATTTAAGAAAAATTGCAATACCTAATTAATCTGGTGGTCATCTGCATGATCTACACACTTAAAGCCGGAATTTTAAAAAAAAATTTAAGGTAAATGCTATGCATGATATGTTAGAACGAATTCTATAGATAAGTCAAGCAAGTTGAGTTCAAGACTGAGGAAGAGGTCCGGCAAAGCAAGTTCTCCATTTTTCTTTTCTTCTCTCTCTCTCTCTTTTGAAAGAAAAGAGTTTTGACAGAGCTTCTTTATGAGCTGTATTCTCCTTTGAAAACCAAAAAACTGAATTTAATAAAAAAAATAGAGAAGATAAAAAACAGAAGTCAAGGAAAGATGAGAGTTCCTTCAATCAAGAGTGAAAAACAACAATAACCAAAGAAAAATGAGGGGCAAACTATGGAACACGGATACTTCTAGAAGGGAATCATATTCTTATGGGATAGTGATACACCTTGGATACTCGCAAAGACAAATCCGATACTACCGAAACGTATCCATAATTTTCTTTAAGTTCGAGAAGTAATGGATACTTTTCAGATACTCTACGTCACATGTCCGAACGACTATATGAAATTGAGATTGTAATAATTATTGCATAGCATTAGAGCATAATTGTTAGGAAAAATACAATAGTAGTTTTTTTGAATATAACAGAAATATATTCCTTCTTCCTCATATTTTCGGAGTTCTTCTTCCTCATATTTTCTAAGTGATAGTACCTTTTGAAAATTTCAAACTTTTTAAAAACATAATCATTACACTTTAAATTCAAATTTTAAAGGATTAATTTCAAAAATACCCTTCTATTCTCATTTTTAAATATATTTATAATTACTTTACAAAGGGTAATTTTGGAAACATATAAATTTAAAACTTTGGCTTTTCAAAATGTACATGCACTTTGGGCCAACAAAAAATGAAATAACGGATCAAAAATTGGGATGGAGGAAGTAACCAACTTTTTCAAAATTTATCGAATTGACATATCCTTCACGTGTCATCCAAATAAATTTGCATACAATATGTTTGTGAATAACACTCTGAGTTGAGTGTAAAAAAGAAAAACACAAGCAATATAAACAATTTAGACAAGATATTGAAATGAATTTTTAAATGACCTACTGAAAAATTAAAAAGCAAATTGGCTATTGGTTCTTAAACTACTACCTAATTCCTAAAGAGTAAGTAACTCACAATTCTTTGTGCTTATGTACAACACAACGCTAAAAACTACAAATATATATATATTACAAATGTATCCTCGTATCAATATCCTATGCTTTTCGGGTTTTTTTTAATTGCTATATCCGTACATACTTATGTCGTATCCCTACCTGTACCTGTGCTTCATAGGGTGTGAAATAAATAATAAAAAAAATCAAGCCCCTACAAAACCAACCCCAATCCCACTCAAGGGGTCCCAAAGTGCCCATGAAACTAGTTGAGATAGTATCTCTATGTTAAACCAAAAATCTCTTCCAAAAATCAAAAAATCTCTTCCATTGATTATTATCAGAACCCATTTAATCTATGTTGGCTATTGATTAACAGAATGTTGTGAGGATTAACAAAAAGATAGTGTGATGTAGGACACCACTAGAAAGCTTAAAATAATGTTGCTTGTGACTAGGTTCATTGTTAGAAAAGGAGGCTAAGACAAACTTTCACTTGATCATTTAAAGAAAATGGAACAATGGTTTCAGGGATTTTGAATGGAAAACAATTGGAATTGGCTTTGTTTAACTAAAAGGTTGACAGATTTCATAAAATAACTTGAAATTCAGGATAGCGGCATTAAAGATTCAGAGTTAAAGGACAAAAGTGGAGGGAGAATAGTAGGTTTGTGGGGGCAAGATTATGGTATTTTTAACTTAAGAATGTAAGGGTTAACTGGGACTACATACCAAGATTTGATTGGAGACACCAAAAAGAATATCCTCAAACTACTAAAGACCAACGACATAATTCAACCTGAATATGATCGATGTACCATAACTGTAGTTTGTGATCATAAATCATGAGATTGCCAAAATACCGAAACTACTAACACTCAATAAAACATAAATGAAAAAAATAACAACTTAACAACCTAAAATTAATTAGAAATTGGCCACTATTTCAACTAAAATTTGATTGCACTACCTTAAGCAAGCCCCTGTAAAGTTGTCAGTTAGACCAAACACCAAACATGATACAGAGTCACAGCCATATACATCCAAGTGGGGTCAGTTGAGCCCTTTGGAATTTAGAAATAAGAAAATGCGAGTTCAATATTTTGATTAATGTTGAGCAAGCTTGCAATTTCACCAAGGAGAGTGCAGTGAAGTCCCTCCTCAAAAGAGGTACGAGTGACATGGCTTTGGCATCGGTAAGCATTCCACATAGAAGTTTTGAGTAAATTTTAAGAATTAAACAAGTAATAATTACAACGTGACAGTTTTAACATTTAACACAGAGCACACCTACAAAAATATGTGTCATCTCTCACAACCCATACTCTAAGAAGCAAGACACTTCTATGGTTGTGTTAAACGTGTGCATACATTCTTAAAAGTGTGTCTGACACTTCTTGAGTCTGTTTTGCAAACTTCAGAAAGCAACTAGTGCACTCTAACTATATTTTGAAACATTTATAAGATAAATACATAATGTGTTTCTTAATGATCTACAATTTTTTTCATTCTTTATATGCAATTATTACATTAATTTCATCTTGATATTTATGTTATTGAATATATAGATTTTTAATTTTAATTAGTGTTATGTTGGTATTTTCTTTGCCTTTGAATAAATTATTTCATATATTTGACATATAATAAATTTTTAGGGGGCTGCAGGCATATTTGTCCTTCATTTTTTGATAATCGCCTTGTCTGGGTGTCCATCTCTATGCTGCTTGGCCCATACTTTTACTTTACCTTTAAAAAGATAAAAACTCAAGCCTTTTAAACCCTTGAAAGCAAATGGCGGGGAAAGCAAGATAAATGAGAGGGAGAAAAAAGAAAGGACAAAGGAACATTGATGGATAAATACATTACAAAGTAACCCCACTTCAAAATTATGGCATCACACCACTGGTGAAAAGGGATAGATTTAAGTTGCTCGAAAAAGGAAGCAAAGAACATAAAAGAAGATCTCCATTGAAGTCAGTATGACAAAATAAAAAATATAAATCCCATTAAATGATATGACAATGTTGAAAAGTTTCATTGACAATGGAAATGCATACATGAATTGCTCTAAAATCATCAGAAATTATAAAAGATAACAGAGAGATAGAGAGATCTAACATCTACTCACGCTGAACAAATAATAGCTATGAAGTACTATAAATTAAACCTTTTCTTTGAAAAAAATCGAAGCATAGAAGTTGTGGGTGAATATACACTTGGCAATAGACCACAGAATACCTCATCCCATCCAATACCGTATGCCAATGGATTCATTTTCATCCTAATAAAAAGATATGTATATCCAAGCCAAGCACAAGCTTCCTTCACATTTGTCACGGTGCCCAAAACCACCTCTGCATTTAAATTATCTCTCAAAGAGCTGATAAACTGCACCACAGGAAAAAGTTAATAAGAACCCAAAAGCAAACTCATTTCTTAAAACTTTCTTAAGGCATCTAATGATGGAGAAAGTCAATTTATAATCAGAACCCATGGGTTATAGAAGCAGATAATCTGACAATGAGAGTTGACTAAAAAATCTGAAAATTGAGAGTAAATCTCATTGCAGTAATTCCAACTTCAAAAAGTAATCACTCTATTTGGTTTCAGTTTTCAGAATTCATTTTTCAGAAAATTCTACTTTTTCGTTTTCTGTATTTTTTTGTTTTCACTAGATTTTTTTAATATTTTAAGCAATTTTTTTAATTTTTAGAGACACCTAACATAAATACACTTAAAAAGTATAATATTTGTGAAAAAAATATTTAAAAAATTCACTAAATATTAAAAATATATATATATATTACTAAAATTCAGTACATTTTTTGTATTTTTGTATATTTATTCATTTTTTAAAATATTTTTTCACAAATATTTTACTATTTAGATATATTTTTAAAAAATATTTAAAATTAATAAATATACAAAAATTGGTTAAAAAAGGTGTATCTAAAAAAGGTATACAAATATATAAATATACAAATATTAATAAATATATACAAATATACAGATATACATAGTTGTCAAATCGAGATTCGTATCGTGAATCGAAATATATTAATAAATATATAAATATACAAATATTTTTTCATAAAATATTTTGTGAAAAAATATTTTAAAAAATTAATAAATATACAAAAATACTAAATAAGGTGTATCTAAAAAAGTAAAAAAATTGGTTAAAATTTTAAAAATATTCCTAAAAACGAAAAAAAATACGAAAAACAAAAAACTCAATTTCTAACAAACTGAATTCAAAAAACTAAAACCAAACACACTGAATATAACCACTACACAAGCTTGCCATCTATGTGGATGAAAGTTGTGCCAAGAGTAATCCGGGTCTATGACTTTGGGTCTAACCCCAGGGGGTAAAGAGTAATACACCCCACGGATTAACAAAATGTATCAATAGCTGCGCTTGGTAAGATTTTATACACTTCCACAAGTTATACTACCTAAAATGTCTCTATTCACGAGAGATGCTACTATGTGCACCTCTAAAAGGGTGCATATAGTATGCCCTTCATAACACCACCACAAATTTTGTAATAAACCATAAAATAACGTAACTTTTCTCACCACAAAAAGAACACCTTTCACTTTAGGGTGCACATCATAAATTCGCCGCTCATAACTTTTACCACAAATTGATATAACACACCACCCAAAAAAAAAAAATAACTTTCTTACGATGTGTCCCCTTTCAGGGGTGCACATCATAAATTTCCCATCTATTATATTCCAAACTAGAATTCTAAAGCATGCACTTCCAGTTAGTTTGACTTTAAACATCTGTAGATATACATATACTTGCATAAATTAATTCCACCAAAAGAAAGAAAAAAGGTTTTAATAGAAGCTCAGAGTATAAAACCATCCTTATAGATACAAAATATAACTTCTGACAAGTTGACAACAATAAACACGATTCAAGAAAATAATAATAGATTCTCATGACAAGTAGTTCAACTGTGAAATAAAAACCACAGAAAATCTTTACGATTCATGGTTTGATTTGATTCACAATTCGGTACGAGGCCATTTCGATTCACGATTCGACTCCCGATTTGACAGCTATGCTGACAACAATAAACACGCTTCAAGAAAATAATAATAGATTCTCATGGCAAGTAGCTCAACTGTGAAATAAAAAAGTTGTAATTTATGTAATATTGATTGTTATATTGATTGATTTATATTGATGTAGTGTATATTACAATTACAAGGATTCCTATTATATAGGAGTGTGTTTGGGAGTAGGTGGAGAGTAGGTGAAGTGGAGGTGGTAGTGGTGTAGTGGGTTAGGTTTAGTGGAGTAGGTGAGGTGGTAGTGGTGGTAGGTTTATGGTAAATTTAACAAAAAACCACAGAGAATCTTAATATTTAACTAATCCACATCCCAAATTGTTCCACCATGGCATCCATATTTCAACATCTAGTAGGCAGTTAAAGGGAAGCAAACAGATAAGACAGAATGTTGCTACTCCTTTTGGCTATCCAAACTCAAAAGCAGGTAGGAAAAGAAAGCGAAAAAAAACAACACAACGGTACTGCAATTGTGCACCTAATAAGACATTTTAAAGACTTAAAAATCAATTAAATACCAATAGTTACCTGACTTTCAATGGGAAGTTGACACGTCAGTAGTCGTAGATAGTAGGCTAATTTTTCATGACTTGTGATTATAATGCCCTCACCACTTTTGTCAAACTGCGGTCTTCCAGCACGTCCAAAGATCTGTAACACAGGTATCACGAGAATTGCAGAGAGTAGCAAATGTTAAATATCAAAAACTAGCATTCACCAAACTGCAAATAATTTTCAATCCAGAAGAAGACCCCTTCTTACCTGCATAACATCAAGCATCCCCAGGTCTCGCCACCCACCAGCCTTGGGATCATATAGTTGAGTTCCCTGGAGTGACAACATGCAGAAAACAAGATTAGAAAAGATCACAGAAGAAACATAAAAAATACTATGAAAAGTTTATAGATAGTATTTTTTTCTTCCACACAATTGTTGCTTTTTTGATGAGGTTACTAACTTACTATAATTAATAGAATGACATAAGCATTCTATTTGGCCACCTACACCGAAAAAAACACAACCCCCCAAGAATTTTCTCAAAGATAGTGCTCTTGAACAACATGTCCCAGAGTGGTGTTACATGGAGGCAGAAGAAACCAACTAAAATTGAAAGAATAATTTCTTGAATGGTGGCTTAAGACTGATGAAATTGACGGCAAGGTAACCTCCAACACTTTTCCTCATTGAGAAAATCACATGCCTGCATCTTGGTGCAGAACAGAATTTTAATGCACCAGCTATGACTTCACTGACAGTGACTTAAGCGAAAAACCTTCAACTCCGGGATATTATTGACAATGACTTGTACAGACATTAGTGGTGTAAGCAGAGGGCAAGACATATGCAGTCTTACCCCGTACTAAATTGTAGGAAACTGATCCAGCCTCTTAAGACAGTATTCAAGTAGTCCTGCCCCACTTTTCTTGACTTGTGGCTTTGCTAATATTCAAATATATTGGTTGATCTGATGCCACACCTAATGATGGTCGGACAAGAATAAAGAAAACAGAAAAATTATGCCCAAAAAAGACTACAGTCACAAGATAGTGGACAATTTGTAGGGGTACTCTTTTTTTTCTTTCTTTTTTTGCCAAAAAGAAACGGTAAATTTCATAGATAGAAAACAAGTTACATCAAGAGACCACCATCCTTCTGAAGTGAAGAAAACAGCCACCATGGAGGTCTGAGTCCCCAAGAGTATATCCCAGAACCTCTCACAGCAAAGCTTGCCAAACAATGGGCCACTCCATTCAAAGCTTTCCTCACGAAACAAACTTTATTTTAAACAATGAAAAAATAATATTATTAATATCCATCAATAATACAATTTATTCTCTTTCTCTCTCTATCAATATTTTTTAACATTATTAAACTTTATACATGGAAAATGGCCAACATATAAGGGTTAAGGGTGCATTGCACAAACTATAAAAGATTCTCTAAACTGAACTTGCATTGGATAGAAATAGTACATAAATATATACAGTTTGTTAATTGTCATCTAATTCTACTAACACCACATTTCAAATCTAAGAACCTCAAATTCAATTGTTTAGGCTAATCTAAACCAACTTAGAGCAACAATTATGGGTCCGTCTAACACAAGTAAACAAATGGTGCAAGAACAAAAGTAATGCATATAGCACAAGCAAAATAATTTGAAAACCTCAACAGAAACAAATGACAAAAACATATATAACAACAAAAACCTCAGAAGTAAAACTAAACATGATTATGAAATATCAAAGCAGACCCTATATAAAATTCCCAGATTGATCCTTCTCTTGCAAACAAGCCATGCAACATTGACACCATAAAAGATATAGGTTCAACCATCAAAATGGGCCAATATTCAATTATTGAACAAACCTTAATCACAACAGTGTGAGCAGGTAGATTTACTCCCCATGCCAAAGTTGCTGTGCAAACAAGTACCTAAAGCAATTACACACAGAGGTTTGAAAAAAGGCATACCCATGAAAATGAAATAACACTAAGCTCAAAGGTGAGAGTACTTACCTTCAAGAGTCCATCGGAAAAAAGGCGTTCAGTCAAACCTCTATCGGCACGTAGCATCCCAGCATGATGGATTCCAATTCCATGTTCAAAGAGTTGAACAAGCTGCTTGTTTCTGGACTTCAAAACATCCCTCTGAAATGCATAAATACGGTTATCCAACAAAAAAAAAAAATTAACTACAGATGGAGTGTGCCAAACAAATGAAGGACACAACATCCTTGCCTTGATCAATTCAAACTGTGGATGTGTATCATTCATAAAGACCTCCAATTCACCATTCTTCTGGGCAAGTTCGACCTGAAATATATATTATACATAATAAATCTGACGGTGGAAGCAAATTATGCATGAAGCTTCCATCTTCCCAACCATACATACAAATATATCTGATATGACGTCATTTTCAAACTACAAATATAACACAGCAAGTTTGTTGATGGAAGCATTTGTAAGACCTTACAACTTTGCAAAATGAAAAGTCAAGATAATGAAACAACAAAGTAGAAGCAGGAACACAATTTGTGAAATTAATAACAGAATCTAAGAGATCCTAGATACATTATTGGCCACGGTTCGGGATTATTATATTCAAATGAGAAACACACTTCCATCACAAGTTTTACATGGATGAGGAGCTCTAAATGAAGGTTCTTGTTTCACTTTTCTTGTAGCTTCTGTACTACTGAAAAGGATGCTTTTGATTACTTATAAGTTATAAGTGATTTGGCTGCATTTAGCTCCTACAAAAGGTCTCTTAGGTAGCCTCCCCTTGCTTTGATTCCTCCACAGAGTTTCATGGCCAACAAGGTTCAAAAAGTTTCATGGCCTCCGCAAAATCCTCACGAGACATCTCTAAGAACTCATAGAAATCCCGTATGCACTTTAACACCCATTCCAACACAACAACCTGGTCGAAACTAACCCCTCCCAGCCAGTCTTCCTCTAAATTGACCTTTCCTAAAGCTATTATGGTCACCAGAGTGCAATCCAGAGATTCAAGAACCTCCCTTACAATCCCTACCCTAACTGGAGTGCCATCAAAAACCAAACTTGGTTCCCCCACCTCCAGCAAAGCATCTGAAGTGCTGCTCATAGCCATATATCCTGCCTTTGTGAGAAACTCCACTGACTGTGAAACCTCCTAGATATTGTGTGACTCATAACTATAGTCTTGGGCTATGAAGCATAGACACGGCAAAATCAGCGCCGTGGCGGTGTCGGACACGGGGACACGCCGGGGACACGTACGGGACACGCCATCTGCCGTGTCCCTTTAATTTAATTGTTTTTCTTGTAGGGGACACGCGTGTCCAGATCTGGACACGGCGTGAGACAGGGCAAGTAGGAAGAGACAAAGGAGAGAGTGTGAAGGAAGAGAGTGAAGAGAGACAAACTGTCGAAGATCGAAGCTCCATGAATCCAGTCGAAGATCGAAGCTCTAAGCTCCATCAGTCGATCGAACACCCCAGACGATTGCGATCGACCTCCATCCATGACCTCGACCTTGACTCGCCTGTCGATCTCCATCAGTAAGTCTCTCTCTCTCTCTCGTCCCTCTCTCTGGCCTTCCTTCTCGCTCGCGTCTCTCGCTCTCACTCTCGCATCGATCGCTCTCTCTTGCTCTCGCGTCGATCGCCCTCTCTCTCCTCTGATCTGATTCGATTCATGTATCTATTACATTTAATGTATCTATTAGGTATATTATATATATATATATCTGATTCATGTATAATATGTCTATTAGGTATATAATATATATATGTATATATGTATTTATTTAATATTAATAAAAAAACATATCTTATATCTTATATTTTATATAATATATATACATATATTAATAAAAAAAAAGTAGATAAAATAAAATAAAATAAAAAATTAATAGAATCATATTTATTTAAAAATATAATAATTAAATAAAATAATTAACTTGTATTAAAATAAAAATATTTATATAAAAAAAAATTTGCCGTGTCCCCAGCCGTGTCCGTGTCCGTGTCCGTATGCGTGTCCGTGTCCGTGTCCGTATGCGTGTCCGTATCCGTGCTTCATAGGTCTTGGGTCCCCCTCCCCCTCTTTCTTCAACACAATAGCCAGACACCCACTCTGTTCTTCCACACTATCACTATGCCATCAACCTTCTATGTCACCAAGTTCCCTCATTCCCTTCACAACTCCCTCAAAATCCTAGAAAGATTCAAAAGGAAAACCTACCTCATCGCATCCTAGATTTTGTCTCCAAATCAACATTGTGACCGGTAGCTTGGATCTCCCTATTGCAAGCCTCCCACACACAGCATCATGTCAAAGATGATGAAGCACCTTCTTTAGTAGACCAAGAGATGTGAGCTGCAAAGTTTGAGAAAGAAGCAACTAAGATGGCCGTGCTTGCTCCTCAACTAACTTAGACCTTTTCATAAGGTTAGACTGGCCATTTAGACAGTGGCCCAATATATCATCTTTATATCTTAATCCCCCTCAATACTGAGCTACTTCTCCTTTCCCTAAACAAGGCCCTGATGATTATCCGCTCAAGCCTAGCGGCCAAATCTATGGCTTTAGGACCTAACATAACAACCTCATAAACAATGATAAATTTGGGCCTCCACACAAGCCCACCAGAATTGGGCCTATTCTTGCAATCTACCCACCAACAATAAGCCTAGAACAAGCCTTGGCGTAATTAGAGCGTTAAAAACCACACCCCGACCCAAGATACTGCTTGCCCAAGACTGACTCATATCATATCCACCAACTGGCACACCAGTGGCAAACCATACCTTTACCACATTACGAAGACAGTTGGCCTCTGCTGTATTTCAAAATTCAAATCTACAACCACACACCACGAGTGCACCTCTATAGGACCTTAGTGCTTACCATGCACCAAATGCAATTGAGGACCACTTGCCACCATCTCCTCCAATTGCACCGAAGCTGATTCCACTTCGGCAATAGATAAACTGAAATCAACACGAGGACCTAACTTTGCCCACCCTAGTTTTCATAACAAAAACCACCCAACACGCCCTCACCTTTGCCTCCCCGTTGCCCTTAATATGAACCCACTTATAATGGTGCCTTGCCATCATATATTCCAACAACCAAAACAACACCACAAAGATCTCTAATAACTCTCAAAATCTCGTCATCACACAAATGGGCAAGCAAAATGACGCAACGACATACACACGTGAAACTAGATATCGTTCTAGTAGATGATAGGAGCTCTCAAATCCACAAGAAAGATAGAACGTAGAATCCACAAGGAAGAGAAAACTCTTAATATTATTAATAAAAAAAGACGTCATTAATTTAAGGCTTATATAAGTATTTATAAAAAACCAAATCTTGGAAACCAAGGAATCTAAAAATTAGGAAATAACCTATTCTAAGCAATCTAAAATTAGAAAACAATCTAAATCTTTCCAATCAAGTAAAAACTATAAAAGCAACTATTTATTCTTGCTAATCAAATAAAACAATTAAGTAAAGTTTTATTCTAGGTAATCAATCTAGCATTCTTCCTTGATTTTTGTCTATCCAACTGTTTCAAAAAATCTTAAGCCACTTTGTTCTACATCACAACGCCTTCACCCTCACCCAAAATTCTCAATGAAAAGATACAAGTCCCAACTTTTTTTTTTTTCTTTTTTTTGATTGGCACCGGGGTGTCTAGATCAAAACCCAACTAATTCTCAAGGGTACACAAGCTCTCAACAAAGAGTTTCCCGCAGGTGCACAACGATTAATTCAAGGGCTTTTTCCCAATCCGATGGCCCCAAGAAATTGTTAGCACCTAAGAGATTTCGATCCTTGAACCTTGGAGAGAGCACACCCCCAAGGCCTTGCCACCAAGCCAACCCCTTGGGGATAAAATTACTGATTTTTTACGAACACACGGTGTGGGCCCTACATCAATGTGTGTGGTTGGTAAAACAATTGGTAGATAAGTAGGAATTTGTAGCAAAGTTGAAATTCTTGAGACCCCGTGAAGGACTATGGCAACTTCCCGCTAGAGCCCACCAAACAAATAAATAACTGCTAACCTCCAAAACTCTATTCCTTCTCCATAATATGATGAGCTTTCCTGTTCGACAAAACAATGAAGAGGTAAAAAGCACCACCACCATCCAAAAGGTCAACACATACCGAAACCTCAGAATTTTTGACCATCTAGTTCTTAATAGCCCCAGCCTTCAAAATTGGATTGGAATATTGGAATCTCGTCTCCCAAATTGACCAACTAGGCATCTACCTAAATACTCCACCATGCTGTCAGCAGAGAAATAAAGCACCTCCATGTCACAATCCCTCCATCTTCATTGCCAATCAACTGCCAAACACACTCTCTGGCCTCCACTACATTGATGTCGCTTGCAAATACTGAAGCTTTGAATAATCAGCTTAGGGTATGATGAGATATCACCCCTTATTTATACATGAAGATTAGGGTTTACAAACAAGACAATTACAAGATGATCCCTGAGGGCATCACAATGATTACAGACCCAAGTGCCTTTCGGCTAATAAAATACTAAGACTTTCGGTGATTATAATATGCCAACAAATACAACAACTTTCCAATTAGGGATTTTTACCTATTTTATGACACTCAGCATTTCATTTGTTTGGTTGTTTTGGGTCATCTCTTGTGTATTGTTTAAAATGTTGTTCTACCTCTGAAAGTTTTTCATAATTTCCATCTTCTTGTGATTTTAATCCCTAATTACATTTCCAATTTTCGGACCAAACCCCAAACAAAATTGCATTTCGTATCAATAAAAACTAACATATTCAGTTGATAAATTGAAAGATAACCTTTTCCAACAGCTGCCAGAAAAATGAAAGTAGAGAAGAAGTGTATACCAATTTGTCAGCTGTTTTCCCTGTGTCTTTCCGTGAATGTACGAAAACCATTGCCTGATGCCCTTGTTTTAATGAATCAACCACCTGGCACAAAAAATGACATTTGACCCAATAAATGGCGAATCCAACAAAATATTGCAAAATAGAGAGCCCATGTGTAAAAGACCTTATTGTAGCATATTTCATTCAACAGATTGTTGCGAGCCTGAAAGTTGTGCTCACTAATTCCAATATACTGTTGTGCAAGAGGCACTGGACGGTAGCTGGAATCAAAGAAGAAAAGACCCTTATCTGGATTCACCCTTAGAAACTGAGCAACCTGGAGGGTTATAAGGGCACAACAGCATATAGTTAACATGCACAGAGACATAAATATAGTTAACTGATATTGTATATATGTATGTTTGTTATACATGTATATATATTCCACATGTCAAGTGGATGGTCAAACAAACTTTATAAAAAGGTAGATAGCTGAAAGAACAAACCTCTAAATAGTTAGGCAGAGTAGCAGAGAGGCCCACAATACGTATCATGGTCTGTGTGGATTCTACCTGTCACAAACATCAGAAATACATTTTAAGAACAAAGATACATTACAATTTTCAATTTTCAAGTTACGTCCGTAAATGCACTTAAATTGGACTAGGTTGAAATTCATGACACACAATTCTACAAGGCCTCATTTGGGAACAGGCTATTTTAGTAACTTCTTGGCTTTTTACGAAAAGATACGCAGAAAAGTAGAGAGAGTGATATGATAACTTAAAGTGATTTTTTGACTTTTTGGCTAAAATAATTACTCCCCAAACGAGGCCTATAGCATGTAAAACATGTTTTAGAATGCAACTCAGCAAATTACAAGGTCATTGAAGAAAACTAACATCCAAAACGAAAATCTGAAATAGGAAAACTGTTAATGCCAAGAAAGATAAAGAAATTATGATCATGAACACAAACAAAAAACGAAATCTGAAAAGTACATCAACCAAAAGAGAAAGATTTCCATACATTTCAACCTTGGGGTGTGTGTGTGTGTGTGTGTGTGAGAGAGAGAGAGAGAGAGAGAGATCTTCAAAGCATCTCATAAACAATAGTCAGATACTATTGACCTTCTTCGCAATTCAAAGTAAGCAGTGAGCAAACTAGTTCGACACTGTATTCTTGAAATTTTATTCGAAAAATCATTTGTTATACATTCCAATGGTGCAGGAACTGTTACCCATGTATTGCAGACAAGACAATCACTAGAAAACATTCACCATGAAGGACTGCTATGAGATAGCATCTTAAAATTTCAGTGCTTATGTTTAACAAGGGTTTAACTCAAGGATATATATACTTGTCTTTGACATATTATCGACCTCCATGGACTTGGGATTGGATGAGCATATATATAAGACACAAGTACTAGAAATTTTGAAAATAAGATCAAGAATGAGTCCACCAAAAAAGAAAACAAGTACAGCAACCTCAATACCCAAATTATGAAGACAAAAAATATTCAGTGTGTTTGGTTTGAGTTTTCTGGATTAAGTTTTTTGAAAACTGAGTTTTTTGGTTTTCGTATTTTTTGTTTTTAGTGAATATTTTTAAAATTTTAAACATTTTTTTTACATTTTAGATGCACCTTACTTAGATGTATCTAAAGAGTAAAAAAATTGTGAAAAAATATTTTTAAAAATTAATAAATACATAAAAATACAAAAAAAATGTACTAAATTCTTGTATTTTTTTTTTTTTTTGTATTTTTGGTATTTAGTAAATTTTTAAAAGATTTTTTTTACTTTTTAGGTGTATTTATGTTAGGTGTGTCTAAAAAGTAAAAAAATTGCTTAAAATATTTTAAAAAATCAATAAAAACAAAAAAACACGGAAAATAAGAAATTAGAATTTTCTGAAAAGTGTTTTTGGAAAAATGGAACCAAGCAAGCTGATTATGATTTTCTGGGCTGAAAGAAGAACAGAAAAGGATGTGCCTTCATTCTTTTGGATTAGAAGCATGGCCAATATGGTGCAACCAACCTCTATGATAAAAGTTGCAGGCAAACAGATGCTTCCAACTTACAGTAATTTAAAGAATAATTATTTGCAAGGAAAACACATGATGCCAGTGAAACTGTACCTGACGAAGGGTACGAGCAACTAATGCTTCTATTACAGGGCCTCTATCATCGTTCAAAAGATGTACTTCATCAATAATTAGGAGTTTCACGAGCATTGAAAGCGACATGTCACTACTTTTACGAGTAATGACATCCCATTTCTCAGGCGTTGTCACAATCATCTGATTGAAATTAAAAGGTAAGATGAAACCACAAGTTGTAGTCTACATGCCCCAGCAAAACAAACCATATCTCATATGAGTAGAAAATAACCTGAGTGACTTCAAGTTCACTCTTAGAAAGTTGCATGTCTCCAGTAAGCTCTTTCACTGTTATATTTAAAGGAGATAAACGATGGCTAAAAGTGGAGGTAACCTCTGCAGCTAATGCCTTAAAAGGGAAATAACCAGCAATTAGCACTCAGCCAAACGATAAACATTACAGTAAAACAAGTAGTCATACCTTCATGGGAGCAACATAAACTATCTTAAATTCATCTTTATGCAAGTACCCGTCTTTGAAGTGCTGTCCAATCTGCCACAAAACATTTGCTTCATTGACCATAGAATTACTGAATTGCAAGAAAAAGTTAAATTAAAGCTCAAAAAAGATTATATAATCAGATTGTGTAGTAAGGTAATCTACAAAACAAAATTCACATTAGAAGGTTAGGAGTGAGATTCATAGTATCACACCAACTTGTCAAGGACTGGGCGCTTGTCATCCTTCAAAGAAGCCGGCTCCACGAGGAATTATGCCCATGGACCAACCCAAGAGATGCAATAGGGATCTACCATGTCTGCCTTGCTGCTCACAAACTAATGCGCTTGCAAGGTGCTTAGTGTAGAACTCGCATTCCTAATGAGTCGGTACGTGACATGCTTCCATCGCCAATACCTAGCGCCCTCGTCAGGGGGACATTACCCTACATGCCTTCATGCTTGTCCGTTTCCCTACCCATGAGAACCCCGCCTTGGTGTGGACACCACCCTTGGTACAAACCCCACAATGAAGGTGCTTGGTGTACGTCCCACGTACCGTCCCCATCACAGTGCCCCTAGGCTGGCTCTAATACCACTTATCACAGACTGGGCGCTTGTCATCCTCCCAAGAAACCGACTCCACGAGTGGTACTACATACCCCATGAATTATGCACACAGACCAACCCAGGAGATGCGATAGGGATCTACCCTCCCTGCCTTGCTACTCACAAACTAATGCACTTGCAAGGTGTTTGGTGTAGAACTCGCATCCCTAATGAGTCGGTACGTGACAAACTGCTCTACTCAAAAGAAATCACCATTCAAATGACATTACCAATAGGATAAAAATATCTTGCTAGGGTGTAAAATCCCTTCTGCGTAAATTGTATGGGGTTCAAGATCAAGTGAACACAAAATCTGCATATGCATGCAAACGATAATGCTATGGCAGTGCCCAAGTAAAGACATAATAAATGAAAACAATGTTCAAGATTACCACCACAGTACGTAGCATGGACAGAGCCATTGAACACTGTTTAATATGAAACCAACGAATGTTCCAAAGCCTTCTAATATTTTGTTCGCAAAAAACTCCATTTACAAGGCCATAATAATATTCAAAGTTCTCTCTTGGAAATTAACATTATTCATCCCAAGTTTAAAAGTTCTTTCTGCTTTAGTTGGCCGTCTTTGACTTCAATGGCTAAACATAAATTCTATTTATTTAAGTAAAACACTCTGCTTCCTAATTTATTCCTAATTCTCTTGAAAAATCTTCTATGTCCCTCAAATATTAGTGCAGTTACAGTTTCGAATTTTTTAAAATTATTACATTCAAATTTTAAAATGTATCATATCCAGATCTCCTTTATGCATCGTGTCTTCATTTTACAAATAGTGATTTTAATCTTCTTAACTTTTACTTAATAATCAAGATAATGTGCTTCAGGTATTTATAGATTTTCCACATAGGTAACGTATGAAGGAAATAAAAATAAAAATAAAAAAATACATATATCTCCTTCCTGATTTTGGATTAAATGAATGAAGAAAACCATCTTAAAACTATATATTTCCCACACTTTAAAATGCTAAGTGAATCTCCTCAAATAAAAAACAAACGTTTAAATGGGAAACAAAAAGTTGGGGATTTCTAGTAGTAATAAGACAAGAAAAGATAACAGTGGCCTATGTTACATGGACTTGAGTATGAATATCGGGGGCGAGTACGTATCCAAGAGTCAGATCTTCCCTAAATCAAAATTTTAGGATATTTAGGATATTGAGACGTGCATCAAAAAGTTGGGTATGGGTATAGAGATACGTCTCAATCATATATAATTTTACATATATTGCATGTTGTATAATTCTTAATGAAAAACTGTAAACTATTTAGAAATGTGCTGCAAATTAAAAGGAATTAGAAAAAATATGAAATTTATATCTCCCATTCATGTGAGAATCGAAATATGTTTCTTTACTAGCAAATGCGAGCATCTTCTTCTCCAAATGTTATATGAAATTAGAGGATACTGGTCTTGAACACATAACCACACCCTTACACTTGCCATATCTGACAGACACAAATACACTGAGGGAAAATGAAAAGTCTACATGACACTTCAGATACTTTGAATGATTAAAGAAAAAAGGGTTAGGTCTTATTTATGTGGAGTTTATTAGTATGAAAAAGGCTAGATTAGATCTGGTGTAGCGATCCCAGTTTCGATTCTTCTTTCATGTTTTGCCGCTTCGACTGGGCCGGTCGGGGATCGAGCTGCCCAGTCAGCTCACGGGGGTCCAGGGTCCAGGGGGCAGTGTCCCTTGGCGGGTCCTAGGGCAGCACCCTGGCGGGGTTGAGGGGTAGCGCCCCCAAAACAAAAATGCAAAATGCATTCGAAGTTGCTTGTCCACTCAAGAGGCCGTTTATGCGCTCGAGCGGAGAATGTTTGGTTTCAGAAGTTTGACCTGTCTGCAAAAATACTGGGTTAGTGTATTTGACGCTTGAACGGGGCTTTCCACGCTTAAGCGGACCATGTTATATCAATTCGTGAATCTGATATTTCAATTTCAGATCACTTTTTCAGTCCTCTCTCTCTCTAAAACTCTCCAGAATTCCAGATCGGGAGTTTCTCTATCTAGAAGTCATCTTCTCTCTTTGATTTCTCCAAATCTATTGGGATTTAGACCTAAGTTCTTCACCAAAGTTGGTTATCATCTCGAGGGCTTCGTTGTGTGCAGTGAAGATCGAGTTTCGACACGGTTGATTTTGGGGGTTCATCTCATTTCTTCTTTAAAACTTGAGATAGGGATTTTCTTAGAATTATATATATATTTTTGCAAAATTTATATGATTTTCAAAATCATCTTTCGATAACTTTGAAAATTGATTCAAGAAATTAAGCGATTTTAAAACTGGGTTTGTCTCTTGTTCTTTTAAAATGATCTCATGGGTTTTGATCTTCGTTGATTGAAAAGGAGATGATTTTAGAAAGTTTTCTTTCAAAAGATTTGAGTTGTATAGTTTTGGAGAGAAAACCTAGAATTTGAGAATTTTTTTTAAAAGAGACTGAAAATATATTGTTGTATTTATTTTGTGTGTCAAAATAAATGGATGTTTGGAAAACTTCTTATTTATATTTATATAAATGATGAATTTCAGGGAATATGAGAATTGTTGTTCATTTTGAAAATTATTATTCAAAACGTTAAAATAGTCTTGAAATGACTAATTGTTGAGAATACTTGAGAAGAGGGAATTGTGTTATTCCTTTCCTTAGATGATGAATTGGAATAAAAGTATTTATATTCATCTTGTGTTATTGGCATAACAATTCATTTGATTACACTAAATTTTGAAAGTTGATTTGAAAACTTGCATTGAGAAAAGAATGTTGAGAAACAAGTTTTCAAGAAATGGTTTTGGGGTAAATACGTTGGTAAGTCTTGATAGATGGTGTAGATGATGTTGAATAAGTTGGCCTGAGAGTCCGGGGTGAAAAACCGAAAACCCGCACGAATAGGTGTCGAGCCTTCCTGTTAATACCGGTAAAAATGACAATTTGGTAGTACTTGCATAGTCTACTTGTAGACACCAACTTAGGGATTACCAGAGTCGTATTTACCGCCCTTAAAATAAATTGTTAAGTTTTGAACAATTGAAATTGCATGACATCATTGAGTATGATGGTTTTCAAAAGATGAAAATGTGATTTATCTTCAAAAAGGAGCCTAGCATAGCATGTGCATTTCATCTCTTGAGACTTGTATAAAATGTATAAACTTTGTTAAGAATTTCCTACTGGGCTTTATGCTCACCCTAAGGGATTTTTGTGCAGAAAAAGATGTGGTAATACCGTCTAACTAAAGGCGAGGAAATGTGTGTTGAGAGTATAAGACTCTCATTTTACTGTAACTCGTGTAAGCCAAGGGTTGTATGTGTATGGATTTGAATAACCGTTTTGTGTAACCAGGCTTAACCCTTGGAAACTTGTAAACCCTTGGGGGTATTTATTTGTTTATTTACTTGTTGTTTGATTAATGTATTGTTGCATAAAGAACTATTGTATCATGTAATGTAAATTTGGAGATTTATATTCGGTTTTCCTTGAAAAAGCCATGATTGTTGTATTATCATTTGGGCTAGAAATTTGGGGCTTCACATCTGGTTATGGCTTCCAAAAGGCTTTAAAGTGCATAAAATAACGAGGAAAGAAAAAAAGAAGGATGAAAACATGAGAACTTCTCTATGGGCTTCTAGATTCTCACCTAGAACAAATCAATGGAATCTCGCTATTGCAAAGAGCAAAATCTGCAAAGAAACACTCCTTGTCAAATTGTCTTAACAAAGCTTTGCTTATACAGAAGCATTTACCTTTCCCACTAGGAAAAGGACTTCCTAAACCCTACTAAACAAAGGGTTCCCAAACTAATTACAACTCAACTACTTCCAAAAATGAGTATAGGCCTTATATCAATATATCAATCAATAATACATCAATTTTAACAGAAACACTTCTTGTCAAATTGTCTTAACAAAGCTTTGCTTATACAGAAGCATTTACCTTTCCCACTAGGAAAAGGACTTCCTAAACCCTACTAAACAAAGGGTTCCCAAACTAATTACAACTCAACTACTTCCAAAAATGAGTATAGGCCTTAGTAAAGCGTAAGACCAAACAACCTAACTAACTTGGATACTAAATAAATTTAAAATACAGAAATACCCCAAATCTACAAATATTCAAATATACTAACATGCCCTGAAAATCTGAATTTTCTCAAACCTAAAGTAACGCTTTTGGGTTTAACCAAACCACTAAACACAATCCCTTGTCATGTGATATCAATGATGGCACACATTGGTCCATTAGTGAGGCCAACATGGATGTTTTCTTTCTCCTCCTTTTCCAAACATAAACTTGAAGGTATCAATCCCCATCACTTTGCCCATTTTAAAATAAAAGGAAAACTAATATCTTCAGTAGTTATATATTGCATGACGTCTAATTTGAAATGCACCATCCAAAACTTTCTAAATCCCACCCATGGTAAGAGTCAAATGTTATTTATTGAAGGTAATAAATGGGCAAGCCAAGCCAACATATTGAAAAGATGATAGATAACTACATACATATATGCAATACATATGAAATATTAATTATGATTTATTATATTCAATGATTAATTTCCTCTATCCTGTATCTTGTATTTATGTCAACCCAAAGTAAATTGCATGCTTCTAATCAAAAACAAAAAATAAAAATTAAAACTAAAACTAAAGCAAAAAGAGGACAGAGAGAGCATGGAATGCTTCTATCCTGGCACAACAAGTACAACAGAAAAGATTGAATTCCAAGAAATCATAGAAAAACAGGTTCAGGAATTGAATGGACACCTCATGTAGAACAGCAATCATGGCTATATTTGTTTTACCAGCTCCTGTTGGAGCACAAACCTGCAAGTACAACAAATACGCTTTAAAGAGATAGAAATTTGCACTTGCACTGCATAATACAGATGAGATAGAAAAATTGATGATGACTCACTAGTATGTTCTCATTGCTGTAATAAGTAGTTTGAAATATTCTGCTCTGGATACGGTTCAGAGATTTGTAGCCATGGAAAGCAGTTTGAGCAAACTCATCTAACTCTTTTATCTCAATCTGACAATAGATTATAAAAAAATAAAAAATAGAAAAAAAATTAACACAGCAGAAGAAGAATTGATATTCCAATTAACAGCTACCAAAATAACTAATACAGCAAGAATGCAGCATATATACAGAAGTGGCCACATCTGTTATATGAACATGGTTCTTCTCATATCGATTCTATCCCTATCCTATTTCTTTCTTTTCTCTCCTATCTTCTATCTCTCTCCTTTCAATTAATATTCTCCTTCCAATCCCATCTTCACTTTCTTTCTCTTTTGTATAATAAATTACAGAAAAATAAACATATTTATTTGCCCATCACGTGTTCAACAATATCTTGCGAGAATCGTGCTCCATTATAATTCACTAATTCATTTCCTTCTAACCCTTTCACTTGATTTTGGATAATATAGTCTCCCAGAAATATTTTGCCTTTATTGGTAGAAGAATTACAGATAGTTGCATTCGGTGTAGAAAGGCAAGGAAGTCAGTCAAGCACTCAAGTTGGTTTGGAAATTGATCAGGATCTATGGGCATTCCTTTCGCAATTGGTCAGAGTGAGAAAGTGTTCTGTTTGCTTCACATAAAAGTTGATTTCCTAGAGCTTGATGCATTGAGACTGGAAATAAGACTGAAAGAGCATGTAATGGATTGTTGATATTCTTTATCGGGGTATTTGAGAGCAAAAAAACAGAAGAATGTTCAAGATCCCGGCTCAAACATAGAAAAGCAGAATCTATTATTCTTAGGAAGCTTTTTCGCCTAGAAAATTTTACATGGTTATGAGACTTCCTTTGATTTTCCGGGATGGCATTGAATTCTGATTCGAGTGTCTGGCTATTACCCACATGAACAAGGGCTTTGCCTTCTGTTTAATGTTTATTTGGAGAGAGAGAGAGAGAGAGACAGAGAGAGAGACAGAGAGACTGCAATTTCCCATATAAGTCTCAAACAAGTCTTGAACTCAATTGATTGACAAAAAAAAGGTAGAACAAAACTGGCGATACAACATTCTTCTGCCACAAAAAGAATGTTGGGAAACAGCATGAACAAACATTTCTCAAAACAATGATCTTGGCCTCATGCGGACTAAAGATTTGAAAGTGCAATAGAAATGCAACAATTGATATCATTAAACTAATGATAAACACCAATCAAAATATATATATTGCAATTTGCATGTTAGATAGGATCTACCAGTTTTATATTACATATTAGATAGGACCTACCAAATTTTCCCCAGGTTTCATTGGTGCAGTCGGTGTTGGGGGAATAATAACTTCTTCATATCCCTTGTAGTGTTTCCTGACAGTGCCTTGGGGAAGGGCAGTCGCTGCTAATGGGTGTGACCCTTCACCAGACCCAATCAAATCATCAAATGGGCTTTTCTTTTCACTTGCTTGGAGTAAAGAACTAAAACTCAAGCCAGACAAGTTGTCTTCAACCCCATAATTTGTTCCCCGTCTATTCCTCTTTTCCTCCTTGCGTCGAAGTTTATCAATTTGCCGTTCAGACTCTGTTTGAACAGTAACCTGGAGAATGGTAGAAAGTAACTTACATATCTCAAGTTTGATCATGTGTTGATTTATAAGTTCTTAAAATTAAAAAAAAAAAAAAAAAAAAAAAAAACTACCTATCAAAAAAAAAATTGAAAACAGTGACCAATGAAAATGTATGTGCATATATACATATGTAGTCAAACCATTTCACACCTGGGTTCCATAACTAGGCATGCGCAATTGAGTGTTTGTAGCCGTTTTGTCAGATTTCAGTACCAGTAACCCATGATGGATAGCATCAACAATTTGCTTCCTGTGCTGAAAGGGAAGGAAAAAAATTCAAAAACAATCAGAGAAGACTGCTACAAATCAAGCATTATGAAATGGGTGTGGGGGAAGGGGAGAATAATTTTGAACTAATTTCCATGAACTAGTTAAACGATCAGGTTCCCACCGGTTACAGAACAAACCAGATGTCGCCACCCAAAGGTTAGTATTTCTTAAGCAAACAAGATCACATGACCTATCCTAGGCTAAAATCTTCACAGACAGGAGCTGACTGACTATTATCCTTGAAGTAGATTATCAACCAAAAATAATGTTCTACACCCCAGATACCAAAAAACAAATAAACAAACAACCTTTGATATATAACCACAAAACCAAAACAGTACTCGTTGAAAAGATTATAAAACCTCATGCATAAGTAATCCTGAACGCAATCCAAAGATCGTGTAAGTAAAAGAGTTTTTCATATCCTTACCGAAATTAGGTCTTGAACTATTTCAAATGCGCTATCCCCAACAAGATCCAACAAATCGGCAGCTATCTTCACAACAGAAGTTTTGAACTCTTTAAGACCTTAGGTGTCATGCAACTTGAACCACAATTCTGAAGGACTATTCTAATAAGATACAATTAGGAAATTCAAAAAATATTACCTCATCACCATGTTTCTCAGAATCAAGTAATCCACAGACGGCCATTGCTAGTTCATCTTGAGGAAGTTGTGAAGTACTTCCTTTCACTATTTTATCACACGCATCTCTTAACCACTGCAAATTGAAGTGTTTACCATCAGCAGCAGAATCATAACCTTTAGGGTCACTGCAGTCATGCAATCCTTCTTGAAGCAAAGAAAAAGATGAAGCAGTTCCCTCCCCCAACAATTCCCCTTCCTCTAAAGAGACATCAACGACAAACCGAGCAGGGCATTGAAAAACAAGGTCAGCACCAAATTCTAAATCATCACAGCTCCTGTTTGTTTCCCTTTGTGGAACAAACACATCTGAACAATCATTAGACTGCAACAAGGAAAGGCTCTGGGCTAGAGAGCTAACTTTCTGTAGACTTGCATCTGAAACAGCATGACCAAGTACTTTTTGCAATTCTAACCTGCATTTAAAATCAACCAAGTACAATTACACTTTGGGAATACAAGTTACAATCAGTGTTTTAGTTTTCAGTTTTCTAAAAATTGAGTTTTTTGTTTTTCGTGTTTTTTTTTGTTTTTAGTGAATATTTTTAAAATTTTAAGCATTTTTTTTACTTTTTTAGATGTATCTAAGTAGTAAATTATTTGTGAAAAAATATTTTTAAAAATAAATAAATACACAAAAATACGAAAAATGTACTAAATTTCCGTATTTTTTTGTATTTTTGGTATTTAGTAAATTTTTTAAAGATTTTTTCACAAATATTATACTTTCTAAGTGTATTTATGTTAGGTGTGCCTAAAAATTAAAAAAAAAATTACTTAAAATATTAAAAAAATTTAGTGAAAACAAAAAAAAAATACAAAAAATGAAAAAGTAGAATTTTTTAAAAAGTGAATTCTGAAAACTAGAAACAAACAGAGTGAATATCATCCACAATTTAGTTGTAAAACCTAAATACATAGCATTCCATTGAGGATATAAATAATTAAAGTTATACCCATTCTAAAAGTTAAATAATTTGAGTAGTCGATAGTTAACATGGTATCAAAGCAGCAACGGTTCTTTGTTTTAATCTAACCAGCAACCCATACATAAAATACATGGACATGTTTGGCCCGCTTATAGTGGGGAGCTATGAAGCACGGACACCTCCCCGGAGGCTGAGCGTCCGACATGCAGAGGACATGTATCTAGCACACAATGTAGCATACCCCTTTGGTTAATTTTATCATCTCGAACACATCCTAGACACATCTAGGACACGTTCAGGGATGATAACATAATTTTTGAAACATTTTACAGGGGTCGAACTATTAAATTCAAAAGTTTTACAAATAATCTTAAACAAATCAGAAGCATTCTTCCACTTTGAATAGATTTCCAAGCCCTAGTCGCAGCACGCACACACTCACACAAAGCATGTCAAAGTTGTCTTGGTTGCCACCAAACTAAGAAACACAAACACTTCTATGGAGAAGAGGCATCACTCATCTCGTACGTGACACTCTGCGGACACTCATAAAAGCTTGTCTGACAATTCTTCAATGTGTCTTAATTAAAATTATAAATTCATAATATCGAACACTTTACATACACTTCGGTAACACTTCTTGAACCCTCCAAACACGACCTATGTGATGAATCTCTTCATATTAACAATGTTTTGCATTCTTCATAATGTAATTGGTGCCCTTTAATATGTTTGAAACATTTATAAGATGAATATATCATATGTATTTCAATGTTCTACAATTATTTTGTATCCTTTAGAATATAATTGTTGCATGAAGGATATCTGGATGTTTAAGTTATGTAACATATAGTTTTTTTAATTTTAATTAGTATTATGTTATTGTTTTTTCAATTACCTTTTAATAAACGATTCTTATATTTGATATATAATACATAAAAAATTTATAAAGATATAGATTTTAATGTGTCCGAGGCATATCGTGTCCTGCATTTATTTGAAAATTGCCGTGTCCGTGTCGTATCGCGTGTCTATGCTACTTAGTCGCCAAAGCTATGCACAGGTCAGTCACTTCTCTGAAGCTATCTTTCCAAGAGGTTCAAAATCACTACATTGTCGTAGTAAAGTAACCTCTTTGATGTATAAATTGTAATTGATTATGCCTCACTTAGATTTTAAATGCAAAGTTATTAATTTTTATTGTTATGTTTCCGGGGAGGCGGGAGGGAAGGAATTAGACTATTTTGATTGTAAGATTTTGAATGTATAATTCTTAATTTTTATTATGGTATAGGGAAAAAAATTAACCTATTATTTAATTTAGTTATATTTATTGTTGTTATAACGTATAAAAACATCTTTTAAATATGCATTTTGTGTTATGGATTTTCTATCTTGGTGTTTATGGAGTATATGCTTTCTTTAATTAGTTGTGTTGTATTCCTCATTACCTTTTGAGTAAAATACTCGTATATACAACATAAAATAAATATATAACAATATACATTTCTTATGTGTCCCGACGTGTTGTTTTGCCTTTTTTAAAATCAGCACGTGTATGTCGTGCCCATGCTTCTTATATGGGCAGTATGACTACACAAGGGAGGGAGTGTGTAGACAATATAATAATTAAACTTTTAAACTCTTTAATAGCTTAAGCTTTTAGAGTAGTTGGTTGTTAACACATTTAGGCGCCAAGGTCCATTCATGATTCTATTTGTATTCCACTGTTCCAAATTACACTACATTCCATAGTTACTTAATGTTCTATAACACTCAAACAACACTAACCATACTCATAAAAAATATCATAACCAATAAGTTTCTTGACACCAAAAGAAGTCAACTTGCATTTCGTCACCAGTATTTACAAAAAATAAAATGTAATCCTACATCACATCCTAGTCAAAAATTAATACGCAGCTAAAACAGGATTCTTGTAGTCAGTTCATGCATCTTGTGACTGCGATGAACATACTCATGCAAACATCTTTGTCCTGCATGCATTTTTTGCAATTTAGACCAGTATCACCATGCCCTTACAACTCCCTCAGTTTTCACATATAAATTACACTCAGAGTCTAAACCCTGTTGACAATCAAAACACAACTACATAACATTCGGTAACCCTATTTCATATTCGAAAAACTGGAATTCTTACTTCTTCTCGGCAATCCTTCTGTCATCCTCGTCCTCCTCCACCGGCTTGGCACAAAGCCGATAAACCATTAATGCCACCTCATGAAACTCCTCCGACAGCACTTCGCCGCCAATCAGCTCCAAAACCGCACCCACAAACTCTTTGTATGCTTGTCGCACTTCAAACGATGCTTCACCAAAACAAAAACAAATCATAATTAGCCAGAAATGCAAATTATGCACAATTTTACAACACATTCTACAGCTTCTTTCAGTTACCTTCATCCCATCTGTAAACGATCTTCTTCGCGAGGTCTGACTGTTCGAGCGAGTTCCCATAACTAAATTCACAAAATTCAATAATTAGAAAGTTTTTAGTTCGGAAATTGAATTGAAGTGTAGTGATTATTGATGGAGAGTGAAGATTGGGGGTTGGAAAGAGATTGATTTACCTGCGAGGTTTTTGGTTTCGGAGGATGGATTTGCGTTGGAGATAAGCGTGATCGATGTCGAATGGGTCTCTCAGAGAGTTCGATAAACGAGGAAGCTGAAGCAACATTGCTCTTCACTGTGGTTCTTGAAACCCTATAGAGGTTTTTCCTTCTGAGAGAAGTGGATTGGTGTGGCGGTGATATATATATAGGTTACTAGCCGGGTCTTTGTGATTTCTTGGCTTGACCCGCTCAACCCGGATGTTTCGACTGGGATCCGTTTGGAAGGTGATTTTTTACCTTTTTTTTCAAAAAAAAATTGTGAGATGAAAATTATTGTGAAGTATTTGAGAATGTTATTTTAACGAAAAAAAATGTGAAAAATAGAAAGAATAATAACAAATCTTTATTTTGTTTGTACAATTTTTTCACCTTTAACTAATTTAACTTGCAACTAATAAACCATTTTTTGGTAAATTACATTCTATCCCCTTTAATTGTTGTCGTGTATCAAAGGTGTGCCTTTGATCAAAAGGGATAGAATATAATTATATTCTATCCCCTTTAATTTTTTCCCCTTTGACTCACTAACCAGAAAGAATAATAACAAATCTTTATTTTGTTGTGTTTTGATCAAAAAAACTTCCCTCTCTCTTCGCCGTTTCACTTTCGTATCTTCGTCTTCGCTCAAGTTCTCTCTTTCTACTCTCTCAAATCCTCCATTGCTTCAAGCTCTTAAGCTCTGCAACTACTCTGTTCACCTCCTCCAGTGAAGCTTTTGTTGCTCTTCTCCGTTTGCTGCCATCGTCTGACCCCGGCGTAATTCACACCGACTTCATTTTCTTCAGTGAGTTACTATTTTCCCCCTCTTTAGTTTCATACTATGTTGCCTATGTTTATTCGTCATGATTAATACATTCATAGTATCCTATATTTGTCTGTGTTTCAAATTTCACCCTTCGTATGTTTAAACATGTCCTGCTTCATCTGTTTCTGAGTACACACACACACTCACATGCTATTCACACTTTTGATGTTCTTGATTTTTGCTTTCTGGGTTCTGAACCAAATACAAATATTTGGTATTCTGCCACTGTCTATGCTTTGTATATTTGTACATTTTTTGAAAAAGAATACACAATAAATTATTTTCTAAGTATATTTAGTGAATCTAATCTAAAAGTAAAATTACAAAATAAAAAAGTATTATTAATTAAGAAAATCTAAAAAAAATAAATGGGTTATGAGAGGGTAATTTATAAATAAAATGGAACTGAGCTAAGGAAGAGTCTTCTTTGGAAGTTAGGTCGCACATTGGGCCTAAGTAAGGGCTGGTGTAGCTCGGTCTTAAAACTAACAAGCTAGGACCAAGTGAAGTATGGGCCGAGGTGTTTTGGGCTTCACAACTTGGACCTCGCACTTTTAGCTTGGTCAAAAACTGCTGCAGTTAAGCTCAATCTAAACAGCCAAAATCGAGATTTAAATAGACCAGGACCGAGCTAGGCATTGCATACGAAAACACCGAATTGAGTATGTCAACAGGCTAGTGTTAGCTCGGTCATACTGTTATTCAACCGTGGTAGTCATCTCACTTGGCTTGCGGTGACGAGACTCTTAGGAGGACTCTGTTAAGGAAAGTAGAGTCCTACTAGGATTGCGCAAACTATCTCACTTGGTTGGTAGTGAGTAGGGTGTGGGATTCTTAGGAGGACTCTTATAAAGAGAGTTGGAATCCTACTAGGATTGTGCCAGGCAGAGTCTATAAAAGCTCATAGCAGGACCTATGTACAGGTATGACAATTTTGACTCCTAAATATACAGAGCTTTTGTCTATTGTCTATTTGCTGACTTAGGCATCGAAGGGGTTTCCGGCACACATCCGCCGGCTAGCTCATGTTTATATTTTCAATAAGTAAAGCGACGACGTTTGGAGGAGCGCAAACTTGATCAACAAGATCATACGAGAAGAATTATTTCATACTCGTACAATTGATGCCGTTTGTGGGAACTTCACAAAGAACAAAACCACTTGATCAAGTTTTTCTCTCTAATTGAAAGCAATGGCACACAATGAAGACTTGCCACAATCTGCTATTGATGGGCAAACCCCGGAGGGGGTGAGAGGCGCGAAGGTTTACTTTCTATCCCTTCCATGGCGGATTTAGAACCCCAACGACGAAACTCCTGGAGAGACACGAGGAAGAGACGGGGCACTAGCCCCCGTCGCCCTCAAAGTCTTGAGAGACAGAGGCGAAGGCTGGATTCTCAAGTTCTGGAGGATCGCGTGAGGGATCAAGACGAGTTAATAAGGAGGATGGCGGCAGACATGGAGACAATGAAGCGCCAGATAAAGGGAAAATAGGTGGCGACAGGAGAAGGGCGCAAAGGTAACACCCCCCTCGCTACTCGGAAGGTCGTGATAGACATACCACACCATCGCAAGCCGAAAGTAGGAGCCTTAGAATATGCGACACCCAATCAAGGACTTCCAGGACCCGTCACTCCAGGTCTGAAAGAGCGAGGACTGAAAGGTCATATACAGAATGAAGCAACTATTACCCCTCGCACACACACCAAATGACATCTAGGCACACGGAGTTGCCTAGGTCAGCGGACTTGCGGACAGTGCTCAGGGAGAGGGCCCGACGAAAGGAGAACACCAGGGCTCGTGACCCTCACAGAGTTTCAACCCTGCAGCGATTGGCCCCTAGGACACATGGGAATGCCGAGGTAGGGATGCCACTGTCGCGCCTTGCTTTTGAACCAGCAGATAAAGTATTAACAATGCTACAGAGCTCGCCGTTCGTTCCGGCAATAGAGAACGCACCATTACCTTCAGGCTTCCATCAGCCCAAATTCACTATTTATGAAGGGAAGTCAGACCCCTACATGCACTTAAACCACTTTCGCCAGGTTATGGCAGTATACCGGTGAAACGAGGCTCTAATGTGTATGTTGTTTCCATCCAGCCTTGGCGACCTAGGTCTAACCTGGTTTGTAAGGCTGCCCGAATGTAGCATCGCCTCATGGGCACAACTAGCAAAAGCGTTCGTGACCAGATTCAGGACGAATATCAAGACACCAGTAGAGATTAATCAGCTACTCTCCATTGACATGGGCAAAAGAGAGACATTGAGGTCTTATAATAGTCGATATTGGGAGACTTTCAACCAGATTGGGGATTGCCCTACAAATCTCGCCATCGCACAATACAAGAAAGGTCTACCAATCGGAAATAAATTGAGGGACTCAATTACCATGATGCCACCCCTCACGATGGAGGCCCTAATGGAGAGGGTGCATCAACATATCCGAGTAGAGAAAGATAGCGCCCGTGCTAAAGAAAAATATGGCACAACAGCAGTACCAGATAAAAAGGCTACCGCAAAAGTTAATACAGTAGAACAACCAAGCATGAATGGGTGAGACAGGCGAGCTAACAGAGAGAACCCATAAAAAGGAAGTTAAGGGTCCCGCACTGCCATCACCACTGTGTTTAATAAACCAATCTATCGAATTCTCAGTGAGATACGTAATGAACCCTACGTTCGGTGGCCAACCAAGTTGGGAAAAGTACGAAGGGGCTACGACGAAAGGTCCCGTTGCACCTTCCATGATGAGAAGGGACACCGAACTGAAAGCTGCACACCCTTGAGGCAACATCTGGAAGAGTTAGTAGCTGCTGGACACCTGGACCAATATATAGAAGGGGGGACACAGCCAGCCCCGCAGGACCCCAACAAACCAAACGGGATGCCGGTCGACGGTCCACCTCAAGGCGTAATCAACGCGATACATGGGATCGTCAAACCTGAGCGAGTATGTGAACTCAGGGGGATGATCAAAAAGGCTGAGCACTTGAAAGAGGTACGGGATGCCGGTCGACGGTCCACCTCAAGGCGTAATCAACGCGATACATGGGATCGTCAAACCTGAGCGAGTATGTGAACTCAAGGGGATGATCAAAAAGGCTGAGCACTTGAAAGAGGTATTAAGTGCACAGCCTACCATAAAAAAGGACAGAACAGAAGCCACGAATGTCATATCCTTCTCAGACAAGGATCTAGCAAGGCTACATTGCCCTCACAATGACGCACCGGTGGTGACTTTGTACGTTAAGAATTTTGACATCAAACACATTCTGATTGACCAAGGAAGTTCATACGAAATAATGTACTATGAGACCTTCAAACAATTGAAATTGGAAGACAAAGACTTAGCACCTGCAACATCTCCACTCGTCGGTTTCAACTCAATGCCAGAGTGGCCAGTGGGCAAGATAATCCTCCCAGTCAAAGTAGGAACCGTGACGAAACATGTGGAATTCTAGGTATTGAAGGTCCCTTTCACCTACAACATAATCTTGGGAAGGGCATGGCTACACGCCATGCGCTCAGTGGCGTCAACCTACCATCAGGTATTGCAATTCCCTAATGAAACCGGCATGATTGAAGAAGTCTTAGGAGACCAAATGATGTCAAAAACAGTGTTTCGTCACAATAAATAGCAGTCGTGCCACAAAAGGGTTCGTTCAGATGGTGGAAGAACCTGAGAGCAACGAACTGTTTATAGATGTCAGCAAAACAGCAGAGCAGAAGGTAGTGGAGGACTTGGTTGAGGTAAGAATAGATGAAAAAGACCCAGAAAGGTTTTTTTTGCTCGACTCGTCTTTATCCAGCACTGAGAGAACTGAGATTATGGAATTCTTAATCTCAAACATCGAAGTGTTCGCCTAGACGCCATATAACATGCCTAACATTGACCCAAAGTTCATCTGCCACCAACTTAATATCCACCCAAATGTCAGACCAGTTATACAACGCACTCGCAGATCGGCACTCTACCACGCCGAGATAGTGGCGGAAGAAGTGGGAAACTTGCTAGAAGCAGGAGCCATCAGAGAATTGCACTATCCCAGGTGGATATCCAATACTGTAGTAGTACCAAAGAAAAACGAAAAGTGACATGTTTACATGGACTACAAAATAGTCAACAAGGCATGCCTAAAGGACAACTTCCTCCTACCACGAATAGACCAACTGGTAGACCTAACAGCGAGGCATAATCGACTTAACTTCCTTGACGCATATAGAGGTTACCATCAGATCGCTATGTATGAACCAGACCAGGAGGTCACGTCATTTACAACACCCAGGGGATTGTACTGTTACAGGGTCATGCCTTTTGGCA